ACCACTCAAACATGGAATGGGAAGAATCAAGGAAACTCTTAGTATACTAGGTTTGAATTGAGATAGCAACATACATGCATATTTTTTCTTTGTGCCATCAAAACTCAAAATATATACAAAAACAGATGGACTGCCACATTAAACCCCAGATTTTTAAAAAATATCTTATTATTTTTATTTTACATGTATGCATGTATTGCCTGCATGTAGGTAAGTGCACCCGCATCATGCAATGCCCATGGAGGACAGAAGAGGCTGTCAGATCCCCTGGAACTGGAGTTATGAATAGCTGTTAGCTGCCATGTGGGTGCTGGGATTCGAACACTGTCTTCTGCAAGAACAGTGTTCTTAACGGCTGAGCAATCTCTCCAGCCCTAAACCCAAGATTTTAATCATTCTGATTCAACATGATCAAGTCATAGTCAGGCTTGTTTGGTCAATAAGCCCATTCATTTATCCACTTCTTAGATAATTCCAGAAACTACTATAAGAAATAATACCATTTCACCTACAAGTATTTTTATATCTTTGAATAAGGAAAACATTTTCACAATATAATTGTAACACCATTAATACTCTTAATTAACAGTAACTTCTAAATATCATCAAATATCTACTCAGCGTTCACATTTCCCTGAGCGTGTAATAATTTAACAGCATATTTGTAGGAGTTACACTGCACTTGAGGCCCACGTTGCACAGCTTCATGTTTCCTTCTCATTTTAAAGACAGTTCCCTTTCAACTCTTCTCTCTCACCCAGTTGTAGTTTATTTGTTGAAGGTGCTGTGTTGTCTCTATTCACAGTCCAGATTTTCCCAGCTGCAACCTATGGTGCCATTCAACCAATGTTCTGCCCTCTGTGTTTCCTAAAAAATGGCAGATTCCCCTTTAAAGAGCCCCAGGTTCATTCAGAGGCCGAAATACACAAGACAGGAGTTCTTACTGAACTGAATTACTGAATTACCAGTCCCTCTGGTTCTGATTTCAGTGGCCAAGTTAGGAAATACGTATTTCAATGAAAAATTCTTATCATGAATCCATACTAGGACTTCTGATTTAATTCAGGAATAAAGGGTAATCCACTTAAGTTCATCCATCTACATTAATCTTTTCTTTCTCCTGTGCCAAACATCCTGGTTCTCACTTTTTACAAAAATGTTTTATTTTTAAATTTTATTTATTATTTTTTTGTGTATGACGTGTATTGCCTGCATGTAAGTGCACCTGTGTGGTGCAATGCCCATGGAGGTCAGAAGAGGGCATCAGATTGCCCTGGAACTGGAGTTACAATTGGTTGTTAGCTGCCATGTGGATGGTGGGAATTGAACCAAGATCCTCTGAAAGAGCAGTCAGTGCTCTTAACTGCTGAGTCATCTTGCCAGTCCCTCTGGTTCTGATTTTTATTAACATTATTTATTTTTTACCACACATACTACATGACACAACAGTCCTAGAACAGGACCACCAACACTCCCACAAAAAAATACGAATACCCAAAGTAATTTAAGTTCACTTTAAGTTCCTCCCTCCCTTCCTTTCTCTCTTCTTTTTAAAATCTTATTTATTATTTTTATTCTTATGTGTATGAGTGTATTGCCTGCATGTATGTTAGTATATCTGTGTAGTGCAATGCCTGCAGAGGTCAGAAGAGGGACTTGGATTCCCCTGGAACTGGAGTTACAGATGGTTGTTAGATACCATGTGGGTGCTAGGAATCAAACCCAGGTTCTCTGCAAGAGCAGCCAATGCTCTTAACTGCTGAGCCATTCCCAGGCCCTCTTTCTTTTTAATTTTTTGTCTTGTATACATACCACTAAGAATATTTAGTAAAAGTACAGTACTCTAGAGTCACTTGAAATAATTACTTTCTCTGTAGTTATGCCATCAAGTGAGTATATATTTATGTTTAATTTCATATGTGATTTTTTTTAATTTTAATTTTTGAGACAGGGTCTCTCTGTAGGCCCAGCTGGCCTGGAACTTGCTATGTAGACCAGGCTAGCCTCAAACTCACAGAGATCTGCCTGCCTCTGCCTCCTGAGTACTGGGATTAAAGGCATGTGCCACCACACCCAGCCTTCATATGTGATTTTTTAAAATATATTTTACTTATTATATCTATTTTTTATGTGTATGCATGTGTTGCCTGCATGTATATAAGTGCACCAGTGTCATGCAATGCCCACAGAGAACAGAAGAGGGGGTTGTATCCTCTGGAATTGGAGCTAGGGACAGCTGTTAGCTGCCATGTGGGTGCTGGGACTCAAACCTGGGTCTTCTGCAAGAACAGCCCATGCTCTTAACTGCTGACATCTCTCCAGCCCCCATATGTGATTTTTAAAAAATATTTTATTTATTTATTTTTTTTATGTGTATGAGTGTATTGCCTGAATGTAAGTTTACTCAGGACATGCAATGCCCATAGAGGTCAGAAGAGGATGTCAGGTCCCCTGGAATTGGCATTAGGGACAGTTATTAGATGCCATGTGGGTATTGGGAACCAAACCCGGGTCCTCTGCAAAAGCAATCGGTCCTTTTAATGGCTGAGTCATCTCTCCAGCCTCTTTATGTGATTTTTTTAAAAAGATTTATTTTTTAAAAAATTTTTATTTATTATTTTTATTTTATGTGTATACATGTATTGCCTGCATGTAGGTAAGTACACCCTTGTCGTGCAATGCCTGTGGAGGTCAGAAGAGGCTGTCAGATCCCCTGGGACTGGAGTTACAGACAGTTGTTAGCTGCCACGTGGGTGCTGGGATTCGAACCCAGGTTCCCTGGAACTGGAGTTACAGACAGTCACTAGCTGCCATGTGGGCGCTGGGATTCGAACCTGGGTCTTCTGCAAGAACAAACAGTGTTCTTAACTGCTGAGCCATCTCTCTAGCCCCCTATCTTTTTATTTTTAATTATGTGTATGTGTGTGGGTATGTGCACATTGAGTGTAAGTGCCTGTGGAGGCTATTGGATTTCCTGGAGCTAGAGTTACAAGTGGTTGTGAGCCACTTAATGTGGGTGTTGAGAATTTAACTCAAGTCCTCTGCAAGAATGTGCTCTTAACTACCAAGCCCTCACGCCAGTCTTTTATATGTGATTTTTAAGGATTGCATTTCAGTTTAATTTTGTTTTGACAATTATCTAACATAGTCACTGTGCTGGTTAGCTTTGGTGTCAACCTGGGTTGAGGAGCCTCAATTGGGGAATTGCCTTCATTGGACTGTTGAGTGATGTGGGAGGGCCCAGCCCACTGTGGGTGGTGCCACCCCTCAGAGGGTTGGCCTGTGTTGCATAAGAAATCGGGCTGAGCAGGGGCCAGGGGAGCAAGCCAGTAAGCAGCATTCCTCCATGGCCTGTGCTCCAGCTCCTGTATCCAGGTTCCTGCCCTGAGTTCCTATCTTGGGCTCCCTGATGAACTGTGACTCGGGATATGTACGCTAAACATTTCCTCCCCAGAGTTGGTATTGGTCAGAGTGTTTTGTCACAGCAATGGAGAAACAAACTAGGGCAGTCACAGTATTTTTTTGCGGGGGGGAGGGTTCTTTTTGAGACAGGGTCTCCCTACAGCCCCAGCTGGCCTGCAACTTGCAATGTAGACCAGGCTGGCCTTGAACTCACAGAGATCCACCTGCCTCTGCCTCCTGAGTGCTGGAATTAAAAGTGTGTACCACCACACCTGGCAGTCAGAGTATTTTAAATAAGTGATCAAATTTAGTAACAATCAACAATAATAAAACAACCTTAACTATAGGCCTCCACATGTAATAAGTATCACTAAAAGGTGGGGTCTTTAAACTGAATCTAGTCATCCCCAGGACCAGAGGAATCCAAAATCTGAGACAGTCTATAAATCATGCTATGACAGAATGTATATATGTGCAGTGTATACATGCAGTGCCTGCCAAAGCCACAAAGAGGCATTGGATCCTTTGGAACTGGAATTAGAGACTGATTATGAGCCACCATGTGGGTGCTGGGAGCTGAATCCAGATCCTCTGTAAGAGCAGCAAGTCCTCTTAACCATTGAGTCATGTCTCCAGCCCCATGACAGGTATTTAGAGAATTAAAAAGCACGGATTTTTAAAAAAGATTCAGACAAAACTAAAGAGATATAAAATCAGAAATGCAATATATGAATTTTGTTTGTTTGCGACAGGTTCTCCCTCTAGCCACAGCATGCCTGGCGCTCACACTGTAGACCAGGGTAGCCTCAATCTCACAAAGATCTACCTGCCTCTGCCTCCTGAGTGCTGGGATTTAAAGGCATGCACTACCATGCCCAGCACAATACATGAACTTTGGTAAGATATCAGATAAAAATAAATAGGGGTGAATGTTAATGACATGAGGCCTCTGAGCTCCTAGAAGATCCTTGTTCATCATTCCCTGTGATTTTGCACTAAGAACCCACTGATCTTTGTGGCTATAGTGACACTTGCCTGCTTTGCACATGTAGAAAGTGCCTGTCAGGTTGGTTTCGATGACAGCATGCCATCCCTTTGCACTGATGTGCTCAACAGGAGACAGGAACTGGCCTCCTCCATTGTTTACCAAGAAATTGATCTTACCATGCAAAGCTAAGGTAGATTTGACCAAATTATTCACCTAAAGAAAAACACAAAAAGTAAGTTTAGTGACCTAACTTATTACTTGGCTCAGTCGCTTGTTTAGAAGTGAACACAGTTTGTCATGCCTTAAAGTAAACAGTGACTTTCAACACTATAACCAATGAACAGAAAGTCACCAATAAATAACTCCACCAATAAAAAAATCCTACAGAATGGACAAAATTCATAAATCACAAAGGTGAAACTGATAACAAAATATAGACAAGGGCCTGTATCACCCCTGAATACAACAGGCCTCGGTAGTATTAATTTATAAGTACCAACCTTAACTAACAGTGATGAAAACTTGTCAAAATGACACTAAGAAATGCCTTAAAGAGTAAAAAGACAAGGGACTGGAGAGATGGCTAAGTGATTAAGAACACTGGTTGCCCTTGTAGAGGACCAGGGTTCTGATCCCAGTGTCCATAACTGTCTGTGTCCGTAACTCCAGTTCAAGGGAATCCAACCCCCTCTTCTGACCTCCACAGGCATTGCATGACACAGGTGCACCTACACATATGCAGGCAATACACTTATATACATAAAATAAAAATAAAAATAAAAAATTTTTCAAAGAAAGAGTAAAAGATGAAAATGCCGGGCAGTGGAGAGTGTATCCTTGCTTAGCTCCCTGTCTTGCTCTCTGTCCCCACTCTGCTTTTCCTAAAGTCACCAGCTCAGTAAATCAGGAGTACAAGAGTCTCCTTACAGGCTCAGCTTTCTAGTGAGCCTCATCACCCTGATGTAAGGCCAAGCTTCAAAACCCATACTACAGATAAAAATAAACAAATACATGACCTCAGCATCTTTGTATTACCTCATTTTCGTTCCGGATGTTGCACTGTATGGCACTGATCTGGGCCTGGCTGGAGGACGACAAGGTGGCTCTCAGTTCATTTACAGTAGAGTTTAGTCTGTCAAGCTTCCGGGAAGCAATAACCACATTACACCCTAAGGAGAAAAAAGCCAGAGAAAGCAAACAAGGGTTGTTCAAATTCTGACAGTAATAATGTATAGAAAATATTTCATGTGTTCCTATAAAAAAGAGGGGAAAAAAAGAGGAATTGGGACTTTTGGGACTTCTGCTTTTGGATAAGATGGAGAATAGGAACCAAATTAACCCTCTAGCCTGATACAAGTAAGAAACTGGACAATATTTATGGAACACTGGTTTGGGGACACTGGCCATCAAGTACCATGAGGCTAAAATGAGAAGTCATTTCTGAGAGAGTAAAGCAGCTTACCACCTGGACAGAGCTTCCCACTGCAGCACAGGACAGATGCACTCCCAGCTTAGAAGTCTGAGAAGTGGAAGAGGTGAAACTGGGATTCTTAGGATGTTATCGTAGCTGCAGGGTTACAGGGAGCTAAGAGATGATGAGATCTGCAGAGTCCCCCTTGAATCTCTTCCAGTGCAGATCAGTACATATAAGAACAGGGACAGGTGAGGGAAAGAACCCCCAAAATGAGCAAAGGAGGGTACCCCACACTCAGCACCAGGAATGAATAATGTGCTGAGCAGGGGAAAAAAAAAACAAAACACAACTCTCACTGGGTAAAGGGTATATATCACCTCAGCAGTGAAGCAAAATTAACCACAGACTAAAGGCTTCCAGGACCAACTCTTAATCTTTTTTCTTTTTTTTAAACTTTAAAAAAATTTATTTTATTTTATGTGTATGCGTGTATTGCCTGCATGGAGGTAAGTGCACCCATGTCGTGCAATGCCCGCAGAGGTCAGAAGAGGCTGTCAGATCCCCTGGGACTGAAGTTACAGACAGCTGTTAGCTGCCATGTGGGTGCTAGGATTTGAACCTGGGTCTTCTGCAAGAACAACCAGTGTCCTTAACTGCTGAGCCATCTCTCCAGCCCCCCAACTCTTAATCTTAAAACATTCAAAGTATCAAAGTAACTTAGCTGCATCCCAGAAGCCACTAACCCTCAGTAGCAACTCAGCTAGGGGTGAGGGTTCCTGAGTCCATCCCCCTCCATGCTGTCTGACTTGATCTTGTGCAGGCAAACACAGCTGCTGCGAGGGGACCTCTGGCTCTAACAATTTTTCCTTCCCACTATTCTGCAATGGTCCCGAGCCTTGGGGAGCAGACTACTCTGGATAAGATTTCCATAAAGAAAAAAGCTGGGTGTGGTGGCGCATACCTTTAGTCCCAGCACTCGGGAGGCAGAGGCAGCCAGATCTCTGTGAGTTCGAGGCCAGCCTGGTCTACATAGTGAATCCAGGCCAACTGGGGCTACAGGGATACCATGTCTCAAAAAGTTTTTTAAAATATTTTTATTTGTGTATGGTGGGCACATGTAGGGAGGTCAAAGGACAACTTGTGGGAGTCCATCCTCTCATCTCATCATGTGGGTCCCAGGGATCAAACTCAGGTCATTGCAGAGAACCCAGGTTTGATTCCCAGCACCCACATGGCAACTAACAATCATCTGTACCTCCAGTTCTAGGGGAATCCAACACCCTCTTCTGACCTCTTTGGGCATTGAACGACATGGGTGCACTTACATACATGCAGGCAATACACTCATACGCATAAAATAAAAACAAAATCTTTTTAAGAATTTTATTCATTAAGGAAAGGTTTTGCCTAAACTCCCTATGTAGCCCAGGCTAGCCTAAAACTCATGCTCCTCCTGTCTCGTTCTCCCAACTGCTAGGATTACAGGCAAGCACCACCAAGATGCTTTTTTCTTTTTTTGTCTTTTTGGGACAGAGTCTCCCTGTAGCCCCAGCTGGCCTGAACGCACTATGTAGACCATGCTGGTCTTGAACTCACAGAGATCCACCTGCCTCTGCTCCCCGCGACCCCCCCCCCCATGCTGGGATTAAAGGTGTGCATCACCACACCGGCTCCACCAAGTTTATTATTTTTTTATTTTTTTGTTTTGTTTTTGATCTTTTTGAGACAGGGTCTCCCTGTAGCCCCAGCTGTCCTGGAACTCACTATGTAGACCAGGCTGGCCTCGAACTCACAGAGATCCTCCTGCCTCTGCTTCCTAAGAGCTGGGATTAAAGGCGTGCACCACCATGCCTGGCATCACCACCACCAAGTTTATTTTTAATTGACAAGTGATTGTACATTTATGGAGTTCATTATGATGTTTTAATATTTGTATACACTGTGGAATGATCAAATCAGACTACTTAAAAAATCTTTTTCCATACTTACTACTTCTTTGTGGTAAGGACATTTCTAGAAACTGTTATGCTAAGTGAAGTAAGACAGACTTAGAAAAACAAGACATATGTTCGCCCTCATTTGTGGATTCTATACCAAATCCTTATAAATGAGTGCCTATCCTGATGCAACTGTAGGAACCAGGAATATGGAAGGGAACTAGGGAGGTAAAGGGAAAGAAGGAACCCAAGAGAGAATAGTAGGAGAAAGGTGTTACTAAGGGAGAAATATGCAAAAAGAGTGTAGTTAAAAGGGAAGGGGGGAAGCTCATACAAAGAACTATGGGAATAAAGGGGAGAAAATTCTCCTGATACACTATAAAGAAGAAAAAGCCTTAAGCACAGAAGGAACTCTGTGAGGATGGAAGAAAGCCCTACCAGAAGCCATACAGTTATTAAATGGAAATCCCAGTGCCAGAGATGGGTTGCCCCCCTATGAGCTGTTGGCCAGACGGGCCCTAGAGGCCCCCAAAACAATAAAGGCCATTGCCGAAGAGGACCGTAAAACCCTATTGCTGAAGACACTGTATGATGTGAACTCAGGAGAGGGAGAAATCAAGCCTGGACTAAGCTGGAAACTCCTGCCACTGGATGGGTGGCTTTCATAGTGCAGAAGGCAACATGCACATGGCTGGGTGAGAACTATCCCCAATAATTCTGTTCAACGATAATGCAGTGTGCTGCATTATCAACATGCCAAACAAGATGTTCCAGCTGGTACGAGAGTGGTGCTGTCTAGTGTATGTACAACCAGAAAATTTTCTGTTGATATAATGCCCCTCTGAGAGGTGGAACACACATCTGGTACTGTAGACCTGGCCAGACCCCAGGGGGCAGGGGAGGATACAGGTCCCAGTGGGGGAGCCACTGCAATTGTTTTGTTAAATGGATGTGATGCACCTGCTAAAGTACCATCCAAGCATTTGTGTTTATGCCCATAGGTTAAGTTGAAAGTCTATTTTTTTTTAACTTTAAAAAAAAATTATTATTTTTATTTTATGTGTATGCAAGTATTGCCTGCATGTAGGTAAGTGCACCCATGTTGTGCAATGCCCGCGGAGGTCAGAAGAGGCTGTCGGATCCCCTGGGACTGGAGTTACGGACAGTTGTTAGCTGCCATGTGGGTGCTGGGATGCAAACCCAGGTCTTCTGCAAAAGCAACCAGTGTTCTTAAACCACTGAGCCATCTCTCCAGCCCCTGAAAGTCTATTCTTAAACTGAGGCTGAGTGGTACAAGCCTGTAATGCCAGCTACTTAGGAGAGTAAAGCAGGAGGATAAGAAGTTCAAGGCCTTCATAGGCAACTTAATGAGATCATCTCAAAATAAAAAATTAAAAAAAAAAAGAGGTATGTAGCTTAGGGTAGAGAGCTTGCTGAACATGCACCAAGCTGTAGGTGCAATTCTCAGTACTAAATCAAAAACCAGACAGGTGGGCATGGTGGTGTATGCCTTTAGTCCCAGCACTCAGGAGGCAGATCTCTGTGAGATGGAGGCTAGCCTGGTTTATATAGCAAGTTCCAGGCCAGCTTGGGCTACAGGGAGACTCTGTCTCAAAAAGCAAAACCAAACCAAACACAAACACCCATAACAGGGCTAGTAAGATGGCTCAACAGTAAAGGTACTTGTTGCCAAGCCTGATGACCTGAGCTTGACCCCTGGGACTTACATGGTAGAAGGAGAAAACCAACTCCCACAAGTTCTCTGACCTTCACACACTGTGGCTGGTGTGTGTATATGCACACACACACACACACACACACACACACACACACACACAAACAAAACAAATACAATAAAAAAAAAAATTAAAACCCACCTAAGGGGCTGGAGAGATGGCTTAGCAATTAAGAGCACTGGCTGCTCTAACAGAGGACTCGGGTTTGATTCCCAGTAGCCACACGGTGGGTAATAACTGTAACTCTAGTTCCTGAGGATCTGATGCTCTCTTCTGACTTCCACCGGCATTGCACAACATGGGTGCACTTATACACATGCAGGAAATACACGCATACGCAAAAATTAAAAATAAATATTAAAATCTACTCAAAACAAAAATTACTCTTTTAACAATTTTGAAACATACAGTATATTAACTGTAGTCACCATGCTATGTTATAGATCACCAGAATTTATTCTTCCTATTTAACTGAAATTCTGTACCCTTTGATCAACATCTCTCCAGTAAACTGTACTGGTCTCATTTTACTACTGAATTTTTTTTTTTTTTTTTTTGGTCTTTTTGAGACAGGGTCTCCCTGTAGCCCCAGCTGTCCTGGAACTCACTATGTAGATCAGGCTGGCCTTGAACTCACAGAGATCTACCTGCCCCTGCCTCCCATCTCATTATATAACTATCAGAAAAAGAATTTCTAATGTTTCAAACAAAAAAAAATTAAAGGTAAGGGAGTATTTATAATTCTTGATTATCATGTCTGCTTTGCATATCAGCCCAGTTGTTGCTGTGTTCCCACAGTGCTGTGCAATGCCAGGACTACAGCAATAACTGCTAAGTCATTCTTATATTTTACATAGCACTGAAAGGCAGACTATGACATGTTTAATATGTATACTATCAGTTGTTGACAGAGGCAAGTTCCTGATCTTTGCCTCAAATAGTTACTGATTTACTTTCTTATGGATTTTTCCCTCCAAGGGTCAGATTTTCATGGTGACAAACAGGTTAGCAGTAATAGTATTTTATTTTGCAATTTATTGATGATAAAGTTGATTATTTTCTCATATACCTATAGCCTATGTGTAACTTAACTTGTCTTTTGGAATCCTTGGGCCACATCACTGCCCATTTCCCCTTGTAATGTTGGGTCTTTTATATTTTTTGTTTATTCTACTTTTAAAATTTTTTATGTATGAGTGTTTTGCCTGAAAAATATGGAATGCTTCGTGAATTTGCCTGCCATCCTTGTGCTGTCATTCCAATTTTAACATGTGTGCGGTGGAAGACAGCATTTGGCTCTTTTCTTTACTTGCAAAGCTCTTTATATAATAAAACTGTCTTGTTGCAAATATTTTTTTCCATATGCCTTTAAACTTCATATTGATTTTTAAATTATTTTTTATTCTACATGTATAAGTGCATTGCTTGCAAGTGTGTAAGTGCACCCATGTCGTGCAGTGCTTATGGAGGTCAGAAGAAGTGTCGGATCCCCTGGAACTGGAGTTACAGACAGTTGTTTAGCTGCCATGTGGGTGCTGGGAATCGAACCCCAATCTTCTGCAAGAGCAGTTAGTGCTCTTAACCACTGAGCCATCTCTCCAGCCCCTCATATTGCTTTTCCTTTTTTTTTTTTTTTTTTGTCTTTTTGAGACAGGGTCTCCCTGTAGCCGCAGCTGGCCTGGATTCGCTATGGAGACCAGGCTGGCATCAAACTCACAGATATCTGCCTGCCTCTGCCTCCCGAGGGCTGGGATTAAAGGCGTGCGCCACCACGCCCGGCTCATACCGCTTTTCAAACTCAACAAAGCCGGACATCTTCACATATTTAAATTTCACTTTTCCTTCCTTGTGTATGTGTAACCTACACTTCTAAGTTTCATCTTCACTACATTTTCTTGCTGTGTTTATGACAAGGCATGTAAGAAGAAAATAAAATTGAAGCCTCTCTGTAGGTTAACCTTTGGCCTACTGAAGTCTCCCAAGTTACCTAATCTGTAGAATCAGGAAACATTTCAAATGGACTAACTTTACACACAAAAACACAATTCCAGCCGGGTGAGGTGGTGCATGGCTTTAATCCTAGCACTCAAGAGGCAGAGGCAGGCGGATCTCTGGCCAGCCTGGTCTACATGGTGAGTTCCAGGCCAGTTGGGGCTACAGGGAGATCCTGCCGCAAAAGACCCAAACAAAACAAAAAGCACCCTCCCCCCACACACATACACAGTTCCACAGCGTTTTCACAGTCCTGCTTATTGCCTACTTCTGGCACGGTAATCTTTGGCTCTAAACCCTTTTACGCCATACCTAGTGGCTCACCTACCAACTTCGATTTGTTAGGAAGAACGCTTTTCCACCCCTCACTGTGAGTTTCGCTCAGCTCCGCAGCCCTTAGCTTTGCAACCTCTCCCCAGCCCCTCCAGAGCCCCGCCTCTGCACCCAGGTTACCCAAGCTGGACCTCTGCGGGCCCTGCTCCGGGTGCCCATCCCAGAGCCTGCTCTCGTACCGAGGTGCAGGAGTTCCTTGGCGATGGCCTTTCCGATGCCCGTGGCTCCGCCGGTGACCACCGCCACTTGGTTCTGCAGCAGGCCGGCCGCCAGGCAGCTCTGAATCTTCTGCGTACAAGATCCCATTGCCACCGAGCGTCCAACCCTAGGTAGCCCGCAGGCCGCGGCGCGCAGGAGGCCGGTGCCCACGTGACTGGAAGGCCTCGCCCCGAGGTCGCGTGGCCCCGCCCCAGACCCCACCTCCGCGCGCTCCGCATCTTTCCCAGCTGGACCACTCTCCGCAGCCGCCTCTCCGGGTCTGGCATCCTCCGCCGGCGTTGGTCCCAAGGCATACGTGGGTGAGACACCTTCTTTTTTTTCATATTTATTTTTTAATTTCGATGTCATTGGAGAGAGAGAGAGAGAGAGAGAGAGAGAGAGAGAGAGAGAGAGAGAGAGAAAAAAAAAGGGGGTGGGGGGGGGTTTTTTTAGAAAAGGCGTGGATGTGGGCTGTTTTATTTCAAATCCTCGGGGCCATAGCTCCTACGGTTAATTAAAATTAAATCTCTAGGGCATCTGGAGAAAGACTGCAGAGCTCTGGGCCCTCACTGCGCCCACCCGCGACAGACGCCCGGCTGTTTGGGCTCTAGGTGCTGTGTGCGGCTGGCTGGGAAAGGGGAGAAGGGGCAGCTTAGCTGAAAGGAAGAAATCCAGGTTCCAGATCCCTTCATCGTCAAGGAGGGAGCCCAGGGAAGGGAGCAAGGCAGGAGAGGGCAAACAATTGCAGTTATTCACAGAGCCTAGATATAAATAATTAAAAAAAAATTAGCTCAGGCCCACTCTCCTCTTGTTCCCTGCGCCCCACCCAGGAATGAAAGAAAGATGCGACCTTTACTAGGTCTGAAATCTGATCCCGTTCATCCGGTCTGTATAAAAGCAAGAGGGTCTTCATTGGAGGGTGCATGATTCCTGCAAGATTCATCTCTAGGAGTATATGTGAGAACCTGCCTTCTAGTTCATTTCTTATGCAAAAAAAACTTGACCCTGCTGGTGGGGGTGTGGGGGTATGTGGGGGGTGGGAGATGGGGCTTGTCTCCGCTATGAGTTGGTGCCCAAGAACAATTTGTTACATTCTGCTTTTAAGAAACTATTAAAAATTACACTTACCAGCTGGGAGTGGTGGCGCACGCTTTTAATCCCAGCACTTGGGAGGCAGAGGCAGGTGGATCTCTGTGAATTCAAGGCCCGCCTGGTCTACGTAGTGAGTTCCAGGACAGCTGGGGCTACGGGGAGACCCTATCTCAAAAAGACCAAAAAAAAATTACACTTATTTGTGTGTGTGTGTGTGTGTGTGTGTGTGTACATGTGTGCAAGTGCCACGATGAAGGTGCGGTGGTCAGAGAACAACTTGCAGAAAAGTTGGTTCTCTCCTTCCACCATGTAGGTCCAGGGGCTCAACTCAGGTTGTCAGGCTTGGCAGCAAACACCTTTACCCACTGAGCCATCTTGCAGGTCCTCTGCTCCTTATTTTTGCCTTAAGAACTTGGCAAATCTAGGGAATATGTTAGGTGCAATGGTTTTAATTCAGATAGAATGCTATTTCCAATTCTATTAGTGCTCTAATTTCTCTTACCAAGTGTTAATGTAATAGCCAACAAATGCCATTTTTTGCTGCTGTTGTTGCAGGGAGGAGGTTGGTTCTACCACTTAAAATTCACAGAAAAAATTAAGAATGGATCTAGACAGACAGCACTTTCCCCATGGAGTCCCTCCCACCAGCAAAATTGCAGTTCTAGAAGAGCCTGGTTCCCTTCTGTCCCTCCATCCCTGTCCTCCTCTCACCTCTTTTTAGAAACACTTTCCTTTTAGAAACTCAGCTGCTGATGAATCTCAATCTATATTCATAAAAGGAAGTAATAAAGTGTGCTGTAGTTGTCTTTGGCTAGGTGGCTGAGCAAGAAATCAGTGAATCTCTGTGAGTTCAAAGCCAGCCTGGTCTACATAGTGAATTACAGACCAGTTGGGGCTACAGGGAGACCCATTCCCAAAAAACCTAAGCCAAAGCCAAAACCAAGCAAACAAATGGCAATACCCACCACCATAGCTCCCGCCCCCTCTTTTTGTGACAGGGTCTCAGTATACAGCCCTGGCTGGCCTGGAACTTGTTATGTAGACCAGGCTGAACTTCAGCTTATAGAGATCTGCCTACCTCCACAGCCCAAGTGCTGAGACTGAATTCCTGTTACTATGCCCAGCTTTTTTTTTTTTTCATAACCACTTCTTAAAAATAAATTGTGTGGAGAGGGACTTTGTGTGTGTGCCCACCCATGCAGAGGCTGGAGGAGGATTTCTGGTATCCTCTCTTGCTCTTCATTTTTCCCTTGAGACAGGGTCTCTCACTGAACCTGGAGCTTACTCTTTTTCAGCTGGTGGCCAACAAGCCCCAGCAATCCTTGTATCTCTGCCCCACACCCCTTAGCCCTGGGGTTACAAGCCAAGCCCAGCTTTCTATGTGAGTGTTAGATCAGAACTCAGGTCTTCAGAGCAAGTACCCTTACCTGCTGAGCCTTTTTCCCAGTTCCCTAAGAATAAATTTAAACAGAGAAGTTTGAAATATTGTAGAAAAATATAATTCCTGGTACTTTGATCCCAGTGACAAAATGGCTGTATGTTGTTTGTTCTTTTGTGATGCTGAGGACTCAACTCAGGACCTTGTACATGCTGGATAAGTACTATGCCACTGAGCTAAACCTCCAGCCCACAAAGCATACTTAAAAAAAATTTATGTATTATTATTATATGTGTATTCATGTATTGCCTGCATGTAGGTAAGTGCACTTATGTCGTGCAGTGCCCACGGAAGACAGAAGAGGTTGTCAGATCCCCTGGAACTGGAGTTATGGACAGTTGTTAGCTGCCATGTGGGTCCTGGGATTCGAACCCTTTGTCTTCTGCAAGAACAGTCAGTGCTCTTAACTGCTGCACCATCTCTCCAGCCCCTGCAAAGCATACTTTTTAATTAAAAATAAAAAATACTAGCTCAATTCTGAGAGGGTACTTTATTCTAGAAAATTCCAGGCTTTCTTTTCTGGGCTGTAGGAGTTCTTTAAATTCCCTTTAAAGATAATTTTATTGAAAATGCAATTTAAGGGGCTGGAGAGATGGCTCAGTGGTTAAGAGCACTGACTGCTCTTGTAGAGGACCTGGGTTCGATTCCCAGCACCCACATGGAGGCTACGAACCATCCTTAACTCTGGTTCCAGGGGAATCCAAAGCCCTCTTCTGATCTCCGTGGCATTGTATGACATGGGTGTACTCACATACACACAGGCAATACACTCATACACATAAAATAAAAATAATAAAAAAAAAGAAAATGCAATTTAGGGGCTGGAGAGATAGCTCAGCAGTTAAGAACACTGTTTCTTGCAGAAGCCCCAGGTTCGAATCCCAACACCCACATGGCAGCTAACAACTCCATAACTCCAGTCCCAGGGGATACGACAGCCTCTTCTGACTTCCTCCGGTATTGCATGACATGGGTGCACTTACCTACATGCAGGCAATACACACATATACATAAAATAACAATAATAAATAAAATATTAAAAAAAGAAAAGAAAATGGAATTTAATGTGCTCTGTAGCCTGGTCTGTAGCATATCTCAAGGATGAGTCAGGGTGGGTCATCGTGGGCCTGGTTATACCACAGCCTCTGTGTGGCCACTGAGTGGGCTGAGATGGAGATTCCAGTGAGAAGGTGACTGAAGAAGACACAGTGCCATCTGTCAACTGAAAGGAAGTTGTAGGCTGAGCAGTCAGCACTCTCTTTTTGCCATCCAGGTGGAAACTGTAATTCAGAAGTATGGGAGCTCTTCAAGGGCTCTTTTGTTAAAAATAAGGAGGCATGGTCTCTTTATTTGACTCTGACCTCAGGGTTCCAGAGTCAGCAACCTCCTGCAAGTCAGCATGCACAGCTATTCCATTTAGAAGCCCTTTGTTTTCCAATTTTAATTCTGGCCCCTACTGGAGCCATCCTCTTCCCGAGACCACTACACCACTTTCTGTGATCTGCACCACGGTCCCCTTTATCCTGGGAAAAGGCATATGCTGTCAACATGATCCTCCCACAGCCCCTGTTCTATCATACTCCATTAGCAGTAACTACCTTCTTTTTCTGAGATGCTCTTGCTGCCCACCCAGTTACCTGCCCCTCCCCAACCCCAACTTCATTTCCTCCCATCCACAAAGCCGCTCCTGACTCAGAGTAACAGGCACTTGCCGAATTCTCAAGATGCAGACTCACAGAATCTCTATGAAGGAATACCAATAAGGCATCTAACCCTGCCTATGCCTTGAAGCAAGACTCCTTGTGAGCCAGCTCACATGAGTAAGACTCTCAATATTCACAACATTCAGTCAATGTTTATTGGACACCTGTATACCAGGTACTTCCCTAGGCATGGGAAATACAGTGTAGCCAATGAGACACTTAGGTTTTCTGTCCTGGCACAGTCTGTGTTCTAGCATGTAGGAATGACAGGAGTAGAAGGTAGAAGGGGTATGCACTACAGTATGGTAGGACACTAACCAAATGAAAGACCAAACAGTAAGGAGAGGCTCAAGGTCTTTGTAACCGTCTGCTTTTGCTATTAGGAATGGTTTCCTCTGCACACAAATGCTACTGTATCTGCCTCAGTGTTATAATGAAACCAGCATTTTTTTTTCTTACTGGAGATTGAACCTGTTAGATTTAGGAGGGCAGAAAAAGGAAGGAGTTTAAAGTTTAGAAATAAGAGTCAGAGCCAGACCTGCAACAGGCAAGGAATGTGCTCCCTGGATTCAGGAAGTCCAGCAAAGGCCTGGTAGCTCTTCCTCGAGGAATGATTCTCAGTGCATTGAAGAGGGAGCAGTCTGGTCTTATATAGGAACTCTGCTGCACAGCTGCAAGAGTTAATTCCGTGCAGAGTCTGGTGTCCTTGAGGGTCTCTTTTCTGAAGATTATTTGCTCAGGCAGGTGGGTGAGTTATCTGTAGCCCTAAAGGAGACAGGCGGGCTCTACAGACAGTCTGTCTCAATCCAGGGAGTGACCAGTTGATAAGGCTCAAGCAATGCCAGATTGAGCAAGGCCAGGCTGCCAATTTAGGGCCAGTTAGCCACTCTAAGGTATTTATGCTTTTATGGCCTCCTCTAATGAAGCTTATGGCTCTCCTGAAATTCATATATTCTATCAGAACCTACAGACTTGTGCATGCTGCATGCTGGGTAAACACTCTACCACTGAACTCTATCCCCAGCCCTCTTATTTTATTTCTTTCTCTCTTTTTTTTTAAATTGAGACAGGGTCTCACATAGTGGCTCAGGGTGCCCTTGATCTCACCCTGTAGTTCAGGCAGGCTTTCAACATGCAATTTTTCTGCCATAGTCTCTAAGATAGAGGCCCACACCACCAGGCCCACACCACCAGGCTGGGCTATCAACTTCTTACATTTGCCACTCAAAAAGTCAGTGACTAGGGTAGGTTGCTGGGAAAGGAAGATTTATATGGAAAACCAATAAATCAAAGGAAATGGCAGGGGATTATCATCCCTTAAGCTCCATTTTTGGGAAAAGGCTTTTATAAGAAAGGGAAGGAGGAGCAGGTGGGTAGTGGGCAGGGAGGCACAGATGTTGAGCAGGTCTCTGGCCTGGATTTTCTTCTATTCTGCTGTAATAACCTTGAGATAACATTGAATTTTATTTGTGAGGCCATTAGAGATTATGCTTTAGTTGAGTACATTGTTTTCCTATAAATTAAACATTTAACTTTGGAGGTTAGAGAGATAGTTCAGCAGTTAAGAACACTTGCTGTTCTTCCAAAAGACCTTAGTTAGGTTCCCAGCACCCATGTTGGGTTGCTCACAACCATTTGTAATGCTGGCTGGATCTGTCACCCCCCCCCACTATGTCCTTCAAGGGCACTGACATAAATGTACTGTACATATTCATACACACATACATACAAAAATTAATTTTTAAAAATTTAATTTTGTGTGTGTGTGTGTGTGTGTGTGTGTGCGCACATATGTACAAGGCCAGAGGACATTTATGATGTCATTCCTTAGGAACCACCAACCATGTTTTTTTAAGACAAGGTCTGTCACTGGCCTTGGACTTGCAAGTAGACTACATTAGCTGACAAACAAGCACCAAGAATCTGCCTATCTCTATTTTCCCAGTGCTGGGATTAAAAGCATGTATGTGCCACTATCCCTGGCTTTCTGGGATTGAACTCAAACCCTCATGCTTATATGCCCAGTACTTCATTGACTATCTATCCCATTATTTAACTTTTAAAAAGTATTTCATTTATTATTTTTAAAATTTTATGTGCATGGGTTTATCTCATGCATGTATGTAAGTGCACCTGTGTCATGCAGTGCCCATGGAGGCCAGAAAAGGGTGTCGGATTCCCTGGAACTGGAGTTACGGATGATTGTTAGCTGCCATGTGGGAATTCAACCTGGGTCCCTGCAAGAGTAGACAGTGCTCTTAACCACTAGCCATCTCTCCAGTCCCCCCATTATTTAACTTTAAATTAAAGGACAAGATTAACAAATCTTTGGCCAACATTTTAATATTATCTGAAGACCAGCAAATCTGAAAAGAAACTTTCCCTGGAGAAAAATTGTTGATTGATAAATTTTACCTCTTTTTAGTACCTTTCCCCAGGAATACCAAACCTTCCAGTTAATCATTAAGATGCAGAAGGCATCTCTGGCTGGAAAACAAAAAAAGAATAAGAGCTGAAGAGTGTTAACGTGCTAGGTTGCTTCAGTCGGAGGTATCATCATCTACACAAAATAAATGTAATAAAAATTTAAAAATAAAAGCAAGTGAAGTTATAGGGTCTGTTCAGGTTTTATCCTGGTTATGAGAGAATCAGAAGGAAACAAGCTGCAGCTTGACTGTGTTCACGGCCAGTTCACAGCAATTGGCTAGAGACTGTGAAGTTGTAGATGTTACTCTACCTCAGTTCCAAACACTCAACACTAGCCTGAGTTGAAATCCCTTCCACCTGAGGCTCTTTGAGAGGGGTTAATAACTTTAAGTGACAGAATCATAAACACTTTATTTCCTAGTTGATTGCAAACCTCATGGTGGTAAGATGTAATCAGAAGTTTCTGGCTGTGGGTCTCTCCCTTCCCTCGTGGGTCGTTGGCCACTGATCCTCGAGAGCAAAGGGAGCAGATGTGATGAACAGGGTCAGGACAGCTGTGAGTATGACGGAAAAACCTTTCGGGAGTCAGCTTCAGTAAGACAGCTCATATATTCAGGGGGGTTGGGGGAACATGTAGGGTGAAGACGGCAGCCAAATCTTCACCTGATAGGTGTTCATAGTATGCTTTATTTGTATGTGGTAGGAGGACCCTATCATGTAGAAAGGGAAGGTGGGATGGAGTGGCTGTAGTACAATGCCTAATTATCATACAGGAAAAAAACTAGGGGGCAGCTCTTGCAGGTAACTATGCCAAAGGTCATATTCCAAATAAGGCCAGGCATCTATGCTTGGAGACACTTTCCAAATAAGGTCAGGCAGAGAGTAGGAAGCCCCTGCTGAAAAAGGGAGTCCTCCATTTCGCCCCAGCTCAGGGGAGCTATCCAGACATGGTGGACTGTGACCTTAAACAGCAGGGTTCCCCAACATCTGGCCACCCCAGACAGGTGATGCATGGCCTGTTGAATGACAGATACACAAATCAGGGAAGAGGGGAAGATACAACAGGATCCAGGCAAGGTCGCTGTAGTGGTGGTAAGTAGTGGTAAGCTGACTTAGGAAAGATGATCTTCCACATTTAGCCACAGTAGTTCAGCTTCAATGTGGAAAAGATACAAAATGTCAACTCCTAATGTTCTGGACCACCTTGAATTAGAAACTGTCCTCAATCAATGATGGCAAGCTGTAGTCCATATATGTTTTGTTTGGGGGTTTGTCCACAGGATAATTTATTTTAAATTAGGTCAATCACTCAAATTCAAATCAGAAACTTTCATGTGAAATTTCATATAACTCATTCCAGGTAGATCTGCCTTTCTCTATGAAAGCAGTTGACTGGGCAGTGGGTCTGGTGGGTGGAGGAGAGAAAAACTAACTTCCTAGTTTAGACGAAGCCAAACTCTTGTGTTTCTCACAACCCTCACCACTTACATGTCCAGCCTTACTGTCCAAGGCTTGGTGTCATTGTCTTTATTAGGATATTCCAGCCAAATCTCAACCCCACACATTTGTTGGTTGCTGCCCTGCAGTGAGCATGAAAACAAAGGCTTCTAAGATTCCTGGTTTTAGCAGCCACCAAATCTGTAATTTAGGCTGAATTAACTGGATGGGTAGGAGAGTATACTGGTTTAATTCTGCTCCAGTGGCCACTTGGGAGCAGAGAGATGGCGTGAAAAGACTGGAGGAAAGCACACTTGATATTGAGGTGTCAATGAAAGTTTAGCAAACCACTTTACAGGTTTAGCATGGAGATAGAATAGTGACCTAGTGATTGATCGGATAGTATCTGGCCAGCAGGAACCAATACCCAGGCTTCTTGTTGATGGCTCAGTCCTACAAAGATGCTGTAGCTGGGTAGCCTTAGGCATTTTATGGGGTTGGAATGTGAGGGTCTTTTAGTGATGTCTAAGAACTGTTAGTTTCTTTTAAACAAAATTTCCTTTTGGTACACTGTTGGCCCTTTCATTACAAGCATCAAATTGTATCATATATTGGGCTACATTGAGCTCTCCACTAGATTTCTCTTGGAATCTGAGCCAGAATCATTGTGATATCCTTTGTACTTGGACAGCTGAGTTTCAGAATTTCTGGCCCATCCAGGAGAATCAAAACTGTTTGAATCATTGTTTATCAGGGATGATGCCCTTTTGTGCTCTAACTCCAAAATGCATCTTAAGATCTGTATATACCTCAGGGACATGGCAGAGGGGTAGAGATATGAAATAAACTTGGTTAATCCTAGTACACTAGTTAGCATTTCTATTTGGTTATATTCAGAGACTCAAAGAATTATGGATTATTACAAGACCTCCCCCATACATATAATTTGAGTCTAAAGGAAAAGAGTCTATAGCTTGTACAACAGCTTATACTTTTTCTGTCTCATTCTTTTGCTGTTCCTAGGGGGTTTCTTCTGTCTATATGAGCTGCTGTTGTTCCTCCAATTCATGTTCCTAAGAAAGTAAGAGAAGGAGAGGGGCAGATAGTAAAGTGGCATACTTATATCCCATTGTTCAAGCACTGGTCATTTGGTCACGTCTAGCTGCAAGGGATGCTGGGAAATGTTATCTTTGCCAAGGAAACTGTGTAACCAGCTAAAACCTTAAAAAGTAGAAAGTAGGGGGCTGGAGAGAGGGCTCAGAAGTTAAGAGCACTGACTTCTCTTACAGAGGATCTGGGTTTGATTCCCAGCACCCACATGGTGCCTAACAGTCATCCATAACTCCAGTTCCAGGGTTGGTCTGGGTACAAAGGATCAGGAAGCAGAGGGGTGTCTAGGCCATGAGGGTAGTTCAGAAAAATGGGGTGCCAAGAGAAGAAATGGGCCAGTGCCCACGCTAAAAGGAGAGATTGGGTGGGGGAGGTGGGAGGGTAAAAGAGGCTGGGGGAGTCAAGGTGCAGTGGGCAGCCGAACTTACCCAGGAAAGAAGCTGGCTCCAGGAAGCTGCTAGCTGTGCTGCCCAGAAATGCAAAGGTAGCAGGGCATGGTGGCATATGCCTTTAATCCCAGCACTTGGGAGGCAGAGGCAGGAGAATCTTTGTGAGTTCAAGGGCAGCCTAGTCTACATAGTGAGTTCCAGGACAGCTGGGGCTACAGGGAGACCCTGTCTCAAAAAGACAAAAAAAAAAAAAAAAAAAAAATGCAAAGGTGATGGGGGGAAGGGAACAGACCCTGAGGGCTCCTGGGGACTAGAGGGAGGAATTGGGTTGGTCTGGGTGCAAAGGATCAGGAAGCAGAGGGGAGCCTGGACCAAGAGGGTAGTCCAATGTTCTGGGGTGCCAAGAGATGAAATGGGCCAGTGCCAGAGCTAGGAGGAGAGACGCAGTGGTGGAGCTGGGAAGGTGAAAGAGGCTGGGGGAGTCAAGGCACAGTGGGCCTGGCAGACTTTACCTGGGAAAGATGATGACCCCAGGAAGCTGTGGGGTTGACCCAATCATGACCATTGTTTTTTGTTTTTTCACTCTTACCATAACAGTTGTTTTTTAGGAAGTCTATGAGTAGCTAGTCACCTAAATATGATGGCTGGATTGGACTAATTCATATCTCCAGAAACACTTAAAGTCAGAGTTGCCCTCTGAATGGCCAAAGCTCAGAAATGGATTGCAGTCTCCTAAATTCAACTGAAGTTAAGGATCAGAGCTCCTCTATCTTGATTCTTTTTTTTTGGGGGGGGGGTCTTTTTGAGACCGGGTCTCCTTCTAACCACAGCTGGCCTGGAACCCACTATGTAGGCCAGGCAGGCCTCAATCTCACAGAGATTCATCTGTCTCTGCTTCCTGAGTGCTGGGATTAAAGGCATGTGCTACCATGCCCGGCCTTTATTTTAATTTTCTGTGAGTGCCTTGACTTCCAAGTTCAAGTTCTAGATAAGGCTTCTTAGTTTTCTGTTAGAAAATCAATATTAGTCCAAAGTTATTTTGCAAACATAAGTAGTGTACCTACATTTTCTCTAAAAAATATTACATGGATTCCCCTCTCTTCTTTGCTGTTTACCTGCAGAACAAAAGAGAAGATGGAGTGTTTCAAGTGAGATTGCACCCTCCCTATGCCTCTCCCAGATTCCCGAGACTTTCTGAGGCACCTGTGTTTTTCCTAGGAGTCCAGGAGGTAGGTTTCCTTCACAGCAAGATAGATTGGGTTAACGGGTTAGTGATGTGCCACCAATCTTCACCCACTTGAGTATTGCTGGATGTATACTTGGTAGTCAGAAGTTCAAAGTACTGACCCCAGCCATGTCCATCTCTATCTATGATAAGAATAAGATTGGTTTTAACTCCTTGCTGTCTGTAGGGCTTCATCACCAACTTCCTCATGTTCTCCACTCCCTAATGGGACTGATGAGTTTCTCATAATGTCTTTATTTATATGAATGAAAAAATAATATTAAAATTTTATTCATCATCTATTCTTATAAGAGGATTTCCATGGACTCATGGACCCCTCTCTCCTCCACTGTTTCCTGAGTTCTCTCCAGCTTACCCTATTTGCTCCCTGCTGATGCTTTATTTTCCTGTCTTTCAGGTCATATGTATCCTTGGTTGGGGCATCTTTGCATAGTCCTTCCCAGGTAGAAGCTCTGTGCTGTATCGATCTTGAGTTTGCTCAGTCAAATCAGGCTCTTTCAAAGACACAGTTAGGTATCAGGTCTGGGATGGAAGAGTCAGCACCAGAAGAAGGCCAGGATCAGCTCCCAAGCCCCCATCAGGGCTCCCTGAGGAGGGCAATGGCCGCTGCCCTGGCCCTTGATGGTGAATCCACAGTGGGCCGCAGGAAGAAGAAGAGGAAAGAGTCTCGCCCAGAATCTATCATTGTCTACCGGTCAGATAATGAGAAAATGGATGAGGAGCCTGAAGATTCAGAAAGTGGAGAACAACCTAAGGAGGAGGAGGGAGAGGATTTCCTAGACTATCCTATGGATGATGGTGAGTCTTTCTAGAACCCCTTGTTCTAGCCAAAACAGGATCCCTTCCTCCAGGAGCCAGACAGGCACCTGCTCACCAGCCTTTTTCTTTTTGGTGATGCATTTCTTGGGGTGTGCAGTCTTCACTCATTAAATCGGCAGTATTTACTTAGTACCTGCTATGTTCTATTTAGGTGAGATGGAGATCCCCACCTTTTCAGAGCTCCTAGTATAATAGAAGCTGATTTATACCAAAATTAGTAACACAAGCTGGCCATACTAATTATTTAACGTATGTAAGATAAAGAAACAATAATTGTTACCTTTCATAATAACCAGGAAAATGCAGCCATGTATGGTGGCTTACACCTATAATCCCAGCTCTCAGGAGGCTAAGGCAGGAGGAACATGAGTTGGGGGCCATCCTGGACTAGATAGTGAAACCCTGTCTATCTCAAAAACAAACAAAAACAAACCAATGGAAAATAATCAAGAGGGGCTGGAGAGATGGCTCAGTGGTTAACAGCACTGGCTGCTCTTGCAGAGGACCTGGGTTCAGTTCCCGGCACCCATATGGTGGCTTGCAGCAATCCGTAACTCCAGTTCCGGGGGATACAATGCCCTCTTCTGGCCTCCATGGGCATTGTATGCATAGGTGTACTAACATATATGTGGTCAAATATATACATACACATACATAAAATAAAAGTTTAAAAAACAAGAAAATAAAAATTATGACATCGAGATATAGTATTCCTTCACATTCAAAAGTGTCAGAAATTAGCTAAAATATTATCACTCCATGTTAGAAAATGGATATTCTCTTGTAGACCTCAAGTACAAATGGAAATCACTTCAACTACTTTGTAGGTAATTGGTTAATATTTATTAAAATTCAAAGTATATAGGGCTGGGCATAGTGGCACATGCCTTTAATCTGAGTACTCGGGAGGCAGAAGCAGGCGGCTCTCTGTGAGTTCAAGGCCAGCCTGGTCTACATAGTGAGTTTTTCCCGATATTTTGATTTGTCCCTTTCATTAGACTTCCAAGAACTCATTTGTTTGTTTTTAATATTTTATTTATTTATTATTTTTATTTTGTTTGTATGAGTGTATTGCCTGCATGTATGTAAGTGTACCTGTCTCATGCAATGCCCTTGGAGGTCAGAAGAGAACTTCAGATTCCCCTGGAACTGGAGTTACGGATGGTTGTTAGTTACCATGTGGCTGCTGGGAATCATCCTCTGCAAGAGCAGCCATTGCTCTTAACTGCTGAGCCATCTCTCCAGCCCCTTAAAATTTTCAAATGTGAGGTTTATACTGTCATCTTTCTATGACTGATTTCTAGCTTTCAGAGGACATGAAATGAACAACTGTAAATTGAAACGATGAGGCTTTTTTTTATTCCTGAGATCAAGAGACAAAATAACACTACTTCTTTCAAAAGTATTCCTGTCAAGTAAAATTACCAAAGCACTCAGGGAAAGGATAAACTGGAGGTTCACTCTGGGTTAGAATGAGGGAAATGAGGTCCTGAGGCAGGTTAATGAAGCTACCCTGAGCCATCTAGTAAAACTCATTTCAAAAGCAAGCAGACAAAGAAAACAAGCTGGTGGGCCAGTGAGATGGTTTAAAGGGTAATTTACAAGCCTGACAACCTGAATTCAATCCCTGGGTCTACCCAAGCTATGTGAAGTGGCTTATGCCTGCAATCCCAGCATTCAGAAGGCTGAGACAGAAGGATCATTGTGAATAAAGGCCCAGCCTGGGCTACAGAGTAAGACCCTGTCTCAAAAAAAATCTAAGACCAGGCATGGTGGTACATGCCTTTAATCAAAGCATTCAGGAGGCAGAGGCAGATAGATCTTTATAAGTGTGAGGTCAGCCTGGTCTACACAGTGAGTTCCAGGCCAGCCAGGATTACATAGTAAGACTCTGTCTCGAAAGAAAGAAAGAAAGAAAGAAAGAAAGAGTGAGGTCAGCCTGGTCTACACAGTGAGTTCCAGGCCAGCCAGGGTTACATAGTAAGACTCTGTCTCGAAAGAAAGAAAGAAAGAAAGAAAGAAAGCAGAACCTGACCCAAGCTTTGAACACTTAGTGGAGGGCAATGAGGGTCTTAACTCTTGCCCCATCTGCACTTGGTCTCAGGCATGACGTAGGGCCAGTGAGATAGAGATAGCTCAGCGATTAAGAACACTAGTTGTAGGCCAGGCGTGGTGGTGCACGCCTTTAATCCCAGCACTTGGGAGGCAGAGGCAGGTGGATCTTTGTGAGTTCAAGGCCACTCTGGTCTACATAGTGAGTTCCAGGACAGCTGGGGCTACAAGGAGACCCTGTCTCAAAAAAGACAAAAAAAAAAAATTCAAACTATATGTACTTGATATTGCAGAAATTCTCAGCATCTCCCTCATGAAATTTGTGTCCTATGTTCTTCATGTGTAAGAATATTTTTTACTGCTAGTGTGCCTTTGGATTATCTATGTTAAGAATTATTGTGCAGCAATGGGTAAACCTATTTGTATAGAAGGAAAGATGTCTGGGACTCATGCCCGCAGTGAACAACACAGGCAGTGTCCTTGCTGTCATGAAGCTGACCTAGCCAGGGAAGACAAACAGTCAATATTATAACTTTGGGTACTGGTATTAGTTCCAAAGACGATAAAATCATAGCAATGGGAAGATGACACTGGCGGAGAACAGTGGGGGAAGAGATTGCATGGTCATGGAAGGCGTCTCTAAAGAAGTAACACTTATCTGAATGACATGAAAAAGCCAGACAAGAAAGAAGGGGAGCAGAGCATTGCAAGGAGGTGAACAGCAAGGGCAAAGGCCTTGAGGTGAGGGCCGCATTGGTCTATTGATAGAAAAGGGTATTTCTGTCAGATAGTAAAGGGAACCAGGGAAGGATGGTGAAAAGAGGTCAACAAGGGAATCCTTACCACCCATTCAGAGGCACAGTGCAGGGTTGGGAGTTTGTTGTAAGAGCCAGTGGGTCAGTGGAGGACTTTTAAGAAAGGGGGACACATTGTCTCATTCATATATATATATATATATATTTTTTTTTGGTCTTTTTGAGACAGGGTCTCCCTGTAGCCCCAGCTGTCCTGGAACTCACTATGTAGACCAGGCTGGCCTTGAACTCACAGAGATCCACCTGCCTCTACCTCCCAAGTGCTGGGACTACAAGTGTGCACCACCACGCCCGGCTCTTATTTAATCTCACTGACTTTCCTATAAAGAATGGATTGCAGAGAGTAGGAATGTAAGGTTAGGGGATGCTATCACATTTCTGTAGCCACAGTGGCAGTGGTGCAGAAGCTTTGACTACAAGATAGCAGGAGGAAAGCTAGAGAGGAGAGGCTGATCTAGAATACAGTGTGGAACTTGCTTATGGACTGCAGGTAGGGAGCAAGGGAGAGACACGAGTGGATAGTGACTTCCAGGTGTTTGACAGAGATGGTTTCATTGACTGAGGTGAAGGCATTGACTGACACTGAAGACATTGTGTCTCTGGATGGGAGTGGAACAGCACAAGCCTTCTCGTATGGAAATCAGAACCCCCTACCACTGTTCTGGAGTCTGATTTTAGGTAGCTACATTCTGTGTCTTTTCCAGCCATGGGGCAAGGAATCTTCCAGACACCGGGTTCAGAGGACATGTCTTACATTCCCTGTTGGTCTCTACATTTCTAGATTACATTTTACATATCAAAGACCACACACTTCTCTGTCTCAGTGTCTTCAACTCTTCGGACAGGGTAGCTAAAGGATGGCTGATGATGTACGTATGTGGTGTGTGTGTGTGTGTGTGTGTGTGTGTGTGCGTGTGTAAGGTGTGTATATATAGTAGGTGTATATATGATGTGTAAGGTATGGTATGCATGGCATGTGTGTGTGCATATGTGTTCTGTGTATATGCATGTAGTATGAGTGTAGGGTATATGGGGTGTTTGTATGTGGTGTCTATGAGCATGATGTGCTATATGTGTTGTGTATATGTAGTATGTATATGGTACACTGTATGTTGTATATATGTAGTATGTATATGGTACACTGTATGTTGTATATATGTAGCATGTATATGATGCACTGTATATGGTGTGTGGATGCATGTAGGTGTGATCTGGTGTAGTGTGTGGATGTGTTTTGCAATATAAGGGTGGTATTATTTATGGGGGTAGGAATAGGGATTGTAGTATATTGTGTCTATGTATGGTGTACACGTGTGTGTGTGTGTGTGTGTGTGTGTGTGTGTGTAGTGAATGGGTATTTAGAGCTTAGACATGAGAGTTGGGGTGTCTACAGGTATGAAAAAAATGCCCTTCTCTGGATACAGAGCTAGGCATGAAAAAGAGAGGGGTGGAATGCCCATCAACTTAGTATATACACACAGACATAGACACACACACACTCTTTATGCACTGATTAATACTCATAAATAATGAATATACACAGCACTTGTTAATTACAAATAGGACCATTATACAGGGGTGGCTGGAGTAAAGTTCCTTATCACTCTCCATGTTACAGAAACTATACCAAGGCTGAGGTCCAGAGAAATGGAGACATAACAGGAAAAACAAGTTAATCTTGCTCACAATTTTATCAGAGCCCACACATGTGGTGCGAGTAGTCACTGTGGGAGTAGTAATAGCAGAAATCACCCTGCAATGGAGACACATTTGGTCTGCTGCTGAATTACTGACCCCACTACTCATACCCAGCCTTAGCCTTAGGGTGGCACTGAAATGGAATGTCCACTCCTCAGATCTTGACTCACATGTCATTTGTGCCCTGCAGGTATGTGGAACATGCCTTTGGACAGCCGCTATGTCACACTAACTGGAACCATCACACGAGGGAAGAAAAAGGGTCAGATGGTGGACATCCATGTCACTTTGACAGAGAAGGAGCTGCAGGAACTGACCAAACCAAAGGGGCTGTCAAGGGAAACAACACCTGAGGGAAGAAAGGCCTGCCAGGTGGGGGCAGAACAGGGGCCCCATGTGGTCCTCTGGACACTGGTCTGCCTGCCTGTGGTTTTCGTCTTCTCTTTTGTTGTATCTTTTTACTACGGCACTATCACCTGGTACAATATCTTCCTTGTGTACAACGAGGAGAGGACTTTCTGGCATAAGATCTCCTACTGTCCTTGCCTCATTCTGTTCTATCCAGTGCTCATCATGGCCATGGCCTCTTCCCTGGGCCTCTATGCTGCTGTGGTCCAGCTCTCATGGTCCTGGGGGGCATGGTGGCAAGCTGCTCGGGACATGGAGAAAGGCTTCTATGGCTGGCTCTGCAGCAAGCTGGGTCTGGAGGACTGTTCTCCTTATAGCATTGTAGAGCTGCTTGAATCTGACAACATCTCAGGCAATCTTTCCAACAAGGACCCTGTCCAGGAAGTAGAAACCTCCACTGTCTAAACTGCCAACAGCTCCCTTCTCTGTCCTCAGAGTTGATACGTCATTTTAAAATTCTAGCAGGTTCTTCCTTTAAATTATCCCCTACCTTCTACAGTTCTGGAAAATCCTAGCTCACATTGGTCTGTTCTACCATCTTTGCTATTCCAAGGCCAGGAAACAGAAAAGTAACGTGCTAAAGCAGTTCTTCCGGTGGACAAACTCTTCTTCAGTCTCAGCCCTAAAAATGACCATTTATCTGAGTCAGGGAGCGCCACTGTGAATTCCTTTGGGAGCTTGAAGGTGTTTACTGGTGCTTGTAACCCAGGGCAGCGTGACTAAATATGATAGGAAGAAACAAGAGGCTTAGAGGCGACCAAATCTACCAAGAAAATAGAGACAGAGCAAAACATTTTTGGAAGTAGACTACTAGAGTGTGACAGAAAGTAAACTCTGTACACCACTTAGATTTAGGTAGAGTTACATATAATTAAAGCTCAAAACATCAGTGATCTAAACAAGTGAGACTCTCTTTTGTTTTTTTGGGTTTTTTTTGTTTGTTTGTTTTTTTTGTTTTTGGTCTTTTTTCCAGCTGGCCAGAAGTTGCCATGTAGACCAGGCAGGCCTTGAACTCACAGAGATTGTCCTGCCTCTGCCTCCCAAGTGCTGGGATTAAAGGTGTGTACCACCACACTGGGATGACTCTTTCTTACATTGAAGTCTGTCCTAGTGCTGACTACATCTCTCGCCATCATATCTATAGTTGTGGAAAAACAGGAAGAGCAAAGGAGAATACACTCTTCCTAGTCAAGGAAACTTCTCAGAATTTTTCATTCAGTATCTTTTGTATCTCATTGGCCAGATTGTAATCACATGACCTCACAATCAAAAGATGCTAGGAAATATACCTTTTGTGTGGGTAACCATATTCCCAGATAAATACTGGGATTAAGTGAATTTGAAAAAAAAAAGAGGAAGAATGGTTATTTTGGTAGGCAAGTAAGAATCACCATCTTAGAATAAGTATTTAAATGCATTTGGAATCCAAAACTATGAATGCCGCTTTATTCCTTTGCTCCTTTATTTATTTGACTTAATTCTAACATGGAGAATTTATACATAGATATGAGCTACATACACTATGGATATGCCTACAGAAAATAGCCTCTTATGTTCTGAACTTTTGTCATGTGGTTTCAGGTTTCTTTGGAAGGAAAGAGTAGATAGGAGAGTATACTTATATAATCATAGCATACAGGGGTTGGTAATATTTAATCTATAAAGACTGGGAAGAGAGAGATTGCATCTGTCAAACAGATTCTCTTATCTCTCAATCAGCAGAGATCAGTAGCTCAAAATACAAACAGATTTGACTTGAGGCTTGGTAAAACCGCAGTGTCTTATTCACTCAGAGCTTTCTAGCATTGAACCTTCTCTTACTGGACTAGGGTGTAGTACACCACATTAATCCAGATTAAAATATGTTGAATTGTTTTTTAAAAACCCTTCATTTCTAAAAACATCCCGATTTCAAAATACCATCCTGGGGTTGAAGAGGTGGCTCAGTGATTAACAGCACTGGCTGCTGTTACAGAGGACCTGGATTCAGTTCCCAGCACTCATATGGTGGCTCACGACCATCTGTAACTCCAGTTCCAGGGGTTCCAAAGCCCTCTTCTGACTTCTGAGGGCATTTCATGCATGTGATGCCCTTACAGCCATGCAGGTAAACACACATGCACATTAAATAAAAATAGATTTTAAAATTAAAAAACATTTTTTAATTTATCATTTTTATTTTATGTATATGAGTGTATTACCTGCATGTATGTGAGTGCACCCGTATCAAGCAATGCCCTAGGAGGTCAGACAAGGGTGTCAGATCCCCTGGATCTGGACTTACAGACAGTTGTTAGTGACCATGTGGATGCTGGGAATTCAACCTGGGTTCGATTAAGAGCCAGTACTCTTAACTGCTGAACCATCTCTCCAGCCTGATTTAAAAAATTTATCCTAAGAGGTCAAAAGGTTTTCAAGTTTGGGGTTCTTCCAAGAAAAGCTGACGATCATATTTATTCATGTCTTAGAAAGAAACTATTTAAAGGACTGCTATGAACTCAACCAGAGGAGTTGGCCAAGCTCCCCCACAGACAGCCAAGGACATTTATTTACTGTATGGTGCTGAACTCCACTTTAAGAGATTTTTTTTTTTTGATTAACCATTATTAGTTTGACCAGAAGGAGAAAAAAATATGTGCCCTGCAGTTTTGAGGATAACCTTGGTGCTTTCTGGTAGATTTCCAGAAATATGAATCACTTAAATGAAAATAAAGAAAATAAAATCTGATAAACATTTATGCTTTTTATTTTTATTTATTTAAAAAATTATTATTTTTATTTTATGTGCATGAGTGCATTGCCTGCATGTATGTAAATGTATCCATGGCATGCAATACCCACTGAGGTCAGAAGAGGACATTGGATTCCCTGGAACTGTAGTTACGGATGGTGGTTAGCCACCATGTGGGTGCTGAGAACTGAACCTGGGTCCTCTGCAAGAGCAACCAGTGCTCTTAACCACTGAGCCATCTCTCCAGCCCTATTAAAAATATTTTATTATTTTATTTTATGTGTATGAGTATATTGCCTGCATTTATGTAAGCACACCTGTGTTGTGCAATGCCTGAGGACATCAGAGAGGGTGTTGGATCCCCTGGAACTGGAGTTACGGAGGCATGCTAGCCTCCATGTGAACGCTGGGATTTGAGCCTGGGTCCTTTGCAAGATCAGCCAGTGCTCTTAATCACTGAGCCATCTCTCCAGCCCCTTCATTTTGTTTTTGAGGTTCTCCAAAATAGCTTTCAGTGCTACAGTTTTCAGAAGAAAGGTGAGCCTGTTGGCTGCCTTGTTGATGTGGGATGATCTTAGAATGGACCCTTATGTCTTGACTTTCTGTACTACTAATTTATGGGAATTCAGTTTAGGTGAACTGCCTCCACAAGTCACATTTTCCCCCCTAAGCCCTTATTAAAAAAATCCAACCACATTTGTTACATTTTTTTTCTGCCTGGCAAACCAATAATCAAGAACAAAAATAGTCATGATTAGGACAAGCCTGGGGGACACTGCCTTCAGGACATAGACCTCTTACGTTGAGTGGGGGTGCGGGTGAGAATACACTCAGGATACCTAGATGAAGTTGGCATTGCTGTCTACCTAGACCTAATAGAAAATAGAGGTACTTATCAACCAAATGATTTCAAAAGGGCTCTAGAGCCAGGCATGGTGGTGCACACCTCAAACCCAGGTGGAGCCAGAGGACCATGAGTTGGTGGCTAACTTGTGTACTTTGAGAGTTTTGTTCTGCCATTTTGCACTGGCCACACAGGGCTTAAGTTAACAGTATTACCAACATAAAAATGTTTCTCTTCCTCACCTCAATTAATTTAGTTACTAGCGTGTGGCTTTTGTTTTGTGTGTGGACTTTTGTTTTTGCTTTTTGAGGCCCCAATTGGCCTTGAACTCACTGTGTAAACCAGGCTGGCCTTGAACTCACAGAGATTCACCTGCCTCTGCCTCCCAAGTGCTGGGATTAAAGGCATGCCCAGCTAATATGAGGTTTTAAAAAAACTCCAGGGGGCTGGAGAGATGGATCACCAGTTAAGAGCACTGGCTGCTCTTGCACAGGACCCGGGTTTGATTCCCAGTACCCATGTGGTGGCTAACAACCATTTGTAACTCTTGGGCATTGCATGACAGGGGTGCACTTACACATATACAGGCAATGCACTCATACATATAAAATATACAATAATAAATAAAATATTTAAAACAACAGCAACAACAAACTTAAAAAAAAAAAAACCATGTCTCAAAAAAAAAGGGGGGCGGGGACCTCAGGCATGGTGGTGCATACCTTTAATCCCAGCACTTGGGAGGCATAGGCAGACTGTTCAAGGCCAGCCTGGCCTACATATTGAGTTCAAGGCCAGCTGGGGCTACAGGAAGCAATAGATAACTGAAATAACAGTTGAGAACCCTGTATCAAAGAAAGGAGGGACAGAGCTGGAAAGATGACTGAGTGGTAAAGAGCATTTACTGTTCCTGCAGAGGACCTTACACCCTCATGGCAGCTAACAACCCTCCATAACTCCAGTTACAGGGAATCCAATGACCCCTTCTGGCAGCCTCAGGCACTGTATGCACATGGTGCACTTACATACATGCAGGCAAAACTCTCACACACATAAAGGTAAATAAAATATTTTTTAAAATAAAAAAACCCCATGGATGTTTAAAAATAGTATTTGAGGCCGGGTGTGGTGGCACACGCCTTAAATCCCAGCACTCGGGAGGCAGAGGCAGGTGGATCTCTGTGAGTTCAAGGCCAGCCTGGTCTACATAGTAAGTTCCAGGACAGCTGGGGCTACAGGGAGACTTTGTCTCAAAAAGACCAAAAAAGAAAAAAAAATAGTATTTGATGAAAGTGGTGGAACATGGAACCATTCCTATCTCTACAACTGTTGTTGGGATTTTAAATAAATTTTCCATATTGCGCATATAATTGTCACAGCTCTCTTACAGAGCAGAAAGGCTGCACATCTTTGTTATAGGGTTCATGAAGTCACCACTTACGTAGTCCACACTCAGAGTGATAACAAGTCTAAACATTCCAGAAACTTAAATTGAGATTTCCATTTTTTTTTACTTTATTAACTACCCTGAAGAAAACACATGATCCCACAATACAGTGATAGGTCTTTCTTTAAACAAATGTTATTTCAGTTATCTGTTGCTTGTGTTAACACTTAAAATAGCAGTGATCGTATTTCTTTGCCCATAATTCTGCAATTTGGGCCCAGCTCGGTGGAGATGACTCAACTCTGTTCAATGTTTCTCATGTGGGGATGGATCCCTATGGGCTAGAGTATCTACTTCTGAGGTAGCTTCATTGACAGGGCTGCCAGCTGGGTGTTGGGTACCATCTAGATACAGCCCTGGGACTGTTGGTGCTCAGTATTTGTATTAGTCTGCTTAGGCTGTCACAAAATGCTATAGACTAAGCGAAGAAATTTATTCATTAAATTTACAGTTCATTAACAGTTCCAGAGGTTGGAAGTCTAAGATCATGGTCTCAACACCTGTAGTTTCTGCTGAGGGTTTTCCTATTGGGTTGCAATTAACTGCCTTCTTGATATGTGCTTGTACATCTTCTTGCTGTGAAAAGAGAAAGTGAGAGCATGAAAAGAGAGAGTGAGAGCACACACATGTAAGAGAGGGAGCAAGAGTGATCTTTGGTACTTCTTATAAGAGCTCTAGTGTGATTGAGGGCCCTGTTCTTGTGATTTATCTAAATCTAATCATTTACCAAAGGCCCAAACTCCAAATACTATCCCAATGAGGGCTAAGACTTCAACAAATGGATTCTGTGGAAAGTCAAACATTCTGTCCACAACAATCCTCCATGTGTCTCTGTTGGCCTTTTCCCGCACTGCAGTCTCCTGGTAATCAGTCTTCATATGAGGTGTGAGTTCATCAGATTGCATAAACAAAGCTGCCAGACATTCTGAAGGCTTTGGCCCAGAACTAACCCTAGTGTCACTTCTGCTACAATTTACTGGTGAAATCAGGTCACAAGGACAGATTCAAGAGGGGATGCTTGAAGGCATGACTCATGAGGGCTACAAAAATAAGCTCACAATTCCCCTTTTCCTTTCCTACCTATTTCCTTCATGTCACAGTGACATCTCCAGTACATACACATTCACTGTCACTAGCATAGCCCACCAGCCTCTTTTCTACCCCTTTACCCAGTTCTATATGATACACATCCAAGAAGACCTCACACTGGCAGGTAGAAATGGAACCAACAAAGCCAGAATCCTTTTGCTGTGGAGGTAAAGAGCTGCACACATTGTCACATTAATCATGTCTGCTCATTTTCTCTTGATGCAAGCTTTTTGTTAGAAGAATCAATGCTTAAAATCCATGCATCCATGGTCTCTTAACTACCTGGAAGTGGATGGTTCTAGAGACTTCTATAAAGATAGTGAACATGCCAACAAGGAGAGCAATAGAATCTATTTTTATTTCTCCTAGGAAATAGACTTGCATTGGGAGAGTGTGTGTATGTATGAAGAGGAAGAGCGGGAGGAGTGGGGGGGGGAGGAAGGGGGGCAGAAAGAGGGAGAGAGAGGAAGAGAGAACTTCTAGAGACTCCATGTAAGACAGAACCATGATATAGTTTGCAATGTCCTTGGCAGTGGCTCCAGTAATTCTACACACCAGTCATAGTGAAACTATTATTAAAAATAACACTTCAGCTTAGGAAGAACTTTAAATTTGAATAAAAATCCAGCAGAACCTCCTAGGTTTTGAAAGTATGTCTTGGTTTCAATGTTTTTAGCTTTAGTTTCTTCATGACTCCTTCTCATCAAGAATTCTCTAGTGGCTGGAGAGATGGCTCAACGGTTAAGAGCTCTGGCTGCTCTTGGAGAGGACAGCTTTGGTTCCCAGCACCCATATGGCGAATCCCTCTTGCAACTCCAGTTCCAGGGTATCCGATGCCCTGTTATGGCCTCTTCAGGCGTTGCATGCACATGGTACACTTAGATAAATGCAGGCAAAACACATACACATGTATTAAAAAGAGAATTACCTACATCATTTCATTCTTAGTTTCTGTTTTTTCCAAGTCCAGTTTTCAACAAGGAGAGAATATGATTGAACTTTATTTCCCAAGACTAGGTAAAGGTTTGAGATGCTTTGCAGGACTCTGGAAGATGTCCAATCATTTTGGTATAGAAAACAGCGCATATATGTGCAAGGATCCGCGGTAGGGAGAAAGTGGTACTGTTAGTCAGTTTCCTTGAAAAAAGCCATGAGCCTTCAATCACTATGATTGACAGTCACCATTTCTATAAAAATCTAACTTGTTAGATGTGCTCCTAAATTAAACTTCTTTCTCTGCCACAGCCACTCCAAACTATGAAGAGAATCTTACAGATAGGCGTCCGACTTTCAGGTGTTTATACTTTTCATTTTGCCTGCAAAGTCGAATGCTTTTCCTACTTTTGTTTCCTTGAAGAATTCACGCTCTTCGGCAGTTGGTCCTAAGTAATAGTATTTGTACAACTTTTCATTGGTACCTTTTTAAAAAGTAATAGTCTTTTAGAGGAGTTAAGAGACTTCCTGGATTCATACTCAGGGGAATCTAAATCCAGAGTACGGATGCAAAACGCTGGAGGGGTTACTGTCAATGAAAGCAAAGGGCAATGACTTTCACAAAGCGATCAGTATTAGTTCAGGACTAAGGATTTATTAATTTATTTATTTTAAAAATTATGTGTGTGTCTGTGTGTGGGTATGTGCTCAGAGTGCAGGGGCCTGTGGAGGCCAGAAGAGGGTGTGGGATCCCTTGGAACTGGAGTTACAGGTAGTTTTGACTAGCAGACTGTTGTGGGCAACTCTAGCTCTCTGCAGGCGCAGTACGTACTCTTAACTCCTGAGCCAACTCTCCAGCCCTTTATTATTTATTTTTCTCATTAATGTATACATTTATTGTGTTGCTATATGTGACACATGTGGAGGTCTCAGAGGACAGCTCACGGGAGTTGGTTCTCGCCTTCTACCACGGGGGTCCTGCGAATCAACCTCAGGTCTCCACGTTTGGCAGCCAGGGTCCTAATCTGCAGAACCATCCAGCAACAGGAGCACACACTATTTACTAGAGGCACGGAGGGAATTCTGCGCATGCTCAGAACTCCGGAGCAGGGTTTCCCGGCCCCTGGCAGGCTGAGTGGGAAGCGGCTGTTCTGCTGTGGGCCTGTGGGTCTGCCGGAACTGAGTTGCAGCACGGCAGGTTTCCGCCCGGGAGAAGCCACTAAAGCGCTAGCGGGCCGGCAACATGGCGTGGTCCGGGAATAAGGTACTGGGAGCCAGGTGTTTGGACTTACCCACGCGAGGGATCTGGAGATAGTGGTTTGATTGCCGGAATTGTGGGTTCATAGCCATGCCAAGGAACGTGGCGAGATAGTGATGCCTAGATCAGGAGGGTCGGCGCGGAAGGATGCCGTGAGCGAAAAGCTCGAGATATGGCGCTCTTCGCTTTTCCCCATATTGTGTTCCCTGCTCCTCGTCCTCCCTCCCTCTATTCCTTATTTCACTCCACCTGCTAACGCAGCCATCTCTAGTTGCTTCTGAACCCTCTTTGTAAAATCTACATAAGAATGGAAGTTAGCCAGCGTAATTGAGTACTATTCCGATTTGTAAAACTTCAGATTGGGATTTTGTGAATAAAATAACCAGAGATGTAAAGTGTCATTACCGTCATAATAATTTAGTATCTCGACTGTATTGAAAGCTTACTGTGTGGCTCAGATCGAAACCTTTTATTTCTTTTTCATTAAATCTTCACACCAACCCCCTGAAGTGAATACTGTTGCCCCCAGCTTGCAGGTAGGAAAACTGAGGCACAAAGAACTGAATCTATTGACTCACGAATTCTCTATCACTAGAGGGAGATGTAATTGCAACGATTCTGTCATTTATTCAACCACCCAATCATTTAATAGAGGCAAACAAGATGGGAGTTTGAACAACTGATCTCTGTTTTCCTTAACTTCCTTTTGAGAAACTTTGATCTAACTCATTAAAACTCCTAAGGGTGTTGCTTGCCTCCTTTGTTCTTCCTCTTTCAGTTACTGAAAACTTTGTAGTCTCAGTGGAGGAGAAATTTGTGGCAGATGTACTTGAAGTAAAATCCTAACAGACTAATTTCTTCAGTGTAGAAATGAAGAGTTGCTATACTGTTTCTCTAACATGGTTTTCTTACTGCCTCCAGAAAAGAATTTAAACAGTTATATTCTTCCAGACCAGAATTTTCATATTGTGAAACTTTGATGTCTTTCTCTGAATCTCTGATTCTTGGGAAAAAAGACCTTCAGTTCACTGGTTTTCTACTTTAAAATATTTTATTTTATTTTATTATTATTATTTTTTTAACTTGCATTTCCCCATGATTTTTTGGACATCTTTTCAGTACTTATTGATGAGTCTTAATTGTTAATTGCTCTCGAGTTGTTTTATTTTATTTTATTTTATTTTATTTTATGTGTATGAGTGTATTGCCTGCATGTATGTGAGTGAACCTGTGTTGTGCAATGCTGTGGAGGTCAGATGAGGGCTTCGGTTTCCCCTGGAACTGGAGTTAAGGACAGTTTGTAGTCGCCATGTGGCTGTTGGGAATTGAACCTGGGTCTTCTGCAAGAGCAGTCAGTGCTCTTAACCGCTGAGCCAATTCTCCAGCCTGGTTTTCTACTTTAAAGGTAGCTTTTGTAGACACATATTAAATTAATACAGCAGGGTATTTTGTGACTCGAGTTTTAAAAAGATTTTTTGTCCTCAGGGAATGACTATATGGTATAATTTAATTGCTCTCAGAGGTATTTTGTAGTTTGCTTCTACTTTTTTCCTCAAGTAAGTTGTCTTTACTCCAGAAATCTGTTAATATTAGTGCGTTATATCATATGGTTCTTTGCGAACTAGGGGAAAATAGTATTTCCTTTTGTTTGTTGTAAAAGGTCAACCAAATTTAGAGATCAGCTTCCCAGGATAGGCGCTCATCCAGGTTTTTCAAACATTTCTCGGGACAGATCTCTACTTCAGAAAATAGCGTTTCCCTTATCGATCACTTTAAAATGCTATTTTTACCCCTTAAATGGAGTCAAGCCAATCTCCCTGGAACTTCCATCTGTTGAACCTGTTACCTCTCCTGCAGTCCAATCATAACAGCTGTCAAATATTTAGAACAAGGAGAACTATCACATTACCCTTAATCTTCATATCTGTCTTGAATATCCTCCCAACTGTTCTTTATTTCACATATTTTCCAGATTCTGAACATTATATGTTCAGTTATTAATTCTTTTTTTCTTTTTGTCTTTTGGAGACAGGGCCTCCCTGTAGCCCCATTTGGCCTGGAACTTGATTTGTAGAACTCACAGTGATCCGCCTGCCTCTGCCTGCTGGGTGCACGCCTTTAATCCCAGCCCTTGAGAGACAGAGGCAGGCGGATCACTGTGAGTTCAAGGCCAGGGAGACTCTATCTCCAAAAGACAAAAAAAAAAAAAGAGAGCTGATACTCAGAATTGCGTACAGTTTGGTCAGTACAAAGCACAGATGAGGCTGGCAGGGTCAAGGAATGCTGATTCTGGAAACAAAGTTAGACCTCTGTTCCGAGTTTCCACCCAATTGAATCAACAGTGAAAATAAGGGACATCCCCAAGGACTCAGAGCTAATTAGTAGAGAAGGGACTAGAACTCAGGTTTCTTTATTGCTTGTCTGTGTGTCTTATCTATCATCTATAGTAGAGAAGGGACTAGAACTCAGGTTTCTTTATTGCTTGTCTGTGTGTCTTATCTATCATCTATCTATCTAGCATAAGACTCTTCTTTTCCTTTCTTAAATTCAATATGGTGTTGATAGAACCTCAACCTCAAGTATTTGTGAAACTGGAATGTTGAAGCCTTTTTTTTTTTGGTCTTTTTGAGATAGAGTCTCCCTGTAGCCCAAGCTGACCTGGAACTCACTATGTAGATCAGGCTGGCCTCGAACTCAGAGATCCACCTGCCTTTGCCTCCCAAAGGCTGGGATTAAAGGCATATGCCACCATGCCTGGCCTGAAGCCTTATCAACTTGTTGACTCAATCTATAGTAAATGCACCGTGTCATGCAGTACCTTCGAAGGTCAGAGAGGGTGTTGGATCCTTTGGAACTGGAGTTATGGACGATTGTTAGTTGCCATGTGGGTGCTGGAAATAGAACCTGGGTCCTCTATAAGAGCAGTCATCTCTTAACCACTGAGCCATCTCTCCAGTCCCAGAAGACCCATCTTAACAATGGATGGGACCATTCCCTGGTCAGGTGATTCTGGCTTTATAAAGTGGAGCAAGGTGAGCACTAATGTGCATGCATTCATTGCTCTCATCTGACTGTGGATGCAATGTGAGCAGCTGCTTCAAACTCCTGATGTCTTGACTTCCCCACCATGATGGGCTATACCATGGAACTATGAACTAAAGTAAATGCTTTCTTCCTTAAGTTGCTTTTGTCAAAGTATTTTATCACAGCAACAGGAAAAGAAACGAAGACAGTCCTCATTGTATGATTGCTATTTAATGACTTGGTGCATTGCTTATTTGGTTCTGTCTTGTTTCTAACTTCATTAGTCACATGATTGATTCCTCACTCTTTAAGACTCACCCAAGGATCAGACTTAAGAAGGCTTTTTCTGCCTCTTTATGCTCCTCTATCTCCTCCACTAGTGTTGAGTAGGTTGTTCCTTCTATGTCTCTTAGTGCCCATTGCAAAGCTTTGTCATGTCACATTGCCCTGACATTATTCATTATGTGTCTGTATCTTCTAGGATAGATTTGGTTTCTTACTAATGATTTTAGACCCATGGTTTATAAACATTTAAATTGTTGGAGTATACCATATTAGCATGTGTAAGTGGTCACCTGTTGCCACAAAATTGCTTCATGGCAAAGTGTACACCACTCAGTGATTTCTAACAAAAGCGTATGTTCTCAGACTTGTATATCATCAGATTGATTGCAGTTTGTTTAAAATGTGTTAGGCTGAGTTGGGCAGGACTTAAGTATGGCTGACAGGCTGGTTTCCAGATCTGCTTATCATGAGTTTGTTCTGGGGTTCAATCCAAAGGAGCAGTAGCTCCCTGGAGCATGCTCCTCTCCTGGAGATACTTTCTGGCTTTTATTGTACCATTCAGGGTTCTCCATAGTGAGACTTTATATGTCTTACATGCATTCTATATGTAGAAGATGCCCCCTTCCTTTATTATTCTTCCCTACATGTCAGTACAGGGACTATGAGAATGATAAATGGGACATATTTCAGAGTCTTTCATAATAACTTTCTATTTCATATACTCCTTGGAACTTTGTTTTTAGGCAGCTGTTGTGCTGTGTATGGATGTGGGGTTTGCCATGGGTAACTCCTTTCCTGGTGAAGAATCCCCGTTTGAACAAGCAAAGAAGGTGATGACCATGTTTATCCAGAGGCAGGTAAGTTTCAGATTAACCTTAAGCTTGTAACTTACGGTTTGACTCCTTGTTGTCTTCTCCAGCTGCTAATGTAAGACACCAGCCTCCTCATAATGCCCAGCCTGGGATTTTTTAGAGTCTGGAGAATTTTCTTTTTTCTTTTTCTTTTTTTAGATTTATTTATTTTTATTTTATATGAGTGGGCACAATGTGTGCCCTTTGCCCTCAGAAGCCAGAAAAGGGTATTGGCTCCCTTGGAGCTAGAGTTACAGGTGGTTGTGAGCCACCATGTGAGTACTGGGAACCCAACCCAGCCCTGGAGGGTTTTCTCACAGGTATTCAAGCCTGCCTACTACTAGAGCCTGCTATTGTTTGCTTGCTTTCTTATGACCCCTTCAGTTGATACTGCAGTTTTGTTTTTTTTTTATCAGAAACAAAAGGCAATATAGAATAATGTTTAAAAGCACAATCTGTAGAGCCAGATGACCTGGGTCCAAATCCTTGCTTTACCATGTCACTTACTAACCCTATGATCTTGAGCCAGACCTCCAATTTGCTTGTGCCTAGCCCAGTTGTTTATTTGTTTATTTATTTACTTATTTATTTTCCGTGTATACAAACTACCCTAAAACTTTTGTGTTAAGGCTGGGTGTGATGACACATGCCTTTAATACCAGCACTAGGGATGCAGAGGCAATCGGATCTCTGTGAGTTCAAGGCCAGCCTGGTCTACAAGTTAGTTCCAGGCAAGCTGGGGCTATGGGGAGACCCTGTCTCAAAAAGACCAAAAACAGAACAACAACAACAAAAAATTTATGTCTTAGGTGACTTTATAAAAAGAAGTTGCTGTTCATAGTTTGATGGGATGACGAGGTGGGCTCAGATGGGACTCTTTTCTACCCACCTTGCGTCAGTTACTTGTTGAAGGACAATGAAGAAGTATGCTTAGAACCTAGAAATTGTCGTTGAGAATAAAGCCCATGTTTCATTTGGCCTAGTATTCAATGAGTGCAGACGCCTACCGTAAGGATGTCCGCTCTCTGCAGGTCAGTTGTCCTGTTGCTTCCGGGTTGTTCTGATAGACGCTTCATCCTTCATATATTCTTTTCTAGGTATTTTCTGAAAGCAAGGATGAGATTGCTTTAGTTCTCTTTGGTACAGATAGCACAGAGAATGCCCTTGCTGGTGAGGACCAGTATCAAAACATCACAGTACATAGACACCTGATGCTACCAGATTTTGATTTGCTGGAGGACATTGAAAGCAGAATCCAACTAGGACCTCAACAAGCTGACTGTATCCTTTGAAGACAAGAAATTTCCTTTTTTTTAAATGTTGCAATCCATTTTGTGAGACTGTAGCAGAGTTTCAGCTCTGAACATCTGGCTATATTTTCCTCTGGGTAAAGAGAAGTGATTAATGTGGAATTACCAGCTTGGGTGCCTGGCTCCAGGTCTTCCAGTCACTTGTTCTTTCGTAGTAAGAGTGATATTGAGAGATTGGGAAGGGGAAAATACTAGGGAATATATGAGTACATTGACTATGAGGAGAGAGCTTGGTGGTATTTGGGGTTAGAATGTTTGGAGGTAGAGAAAGATGCTTTAGGGGATCATGGCACTAGTGTTCTTGACTTTTCTTGATGGAGGATGTTTTTATGCCAAAAATCAGGTTGAACAACAACTAAATAAATAAATAAATAAATAAATAATCTGGAAAAAATCATGTTAATGTCCAAACTGAGACCTCTGATTTCTTCCATAGGGGCCCTAATTTTAACAGCTTATTCTTAGTATTTTTCTAAACAGTAGTTCCATCCTTGGTCACTAGGAGGTGCTGCTGTGTTTGGAATGACTTGCAAATGATGCCTTATGGCTTACTTCATATTTAGTAATGGACTGTGATCCCCCAAGTGGGCTCTAGGTACTGTTAAATGGCATCATAAGTTTTGGTTAAACGTATTAGATGTGTTAAAACCCTTTTTCTTTTTTTTTTTTTTTCAATCTTTTTTTCCTTTTTTTGACTTTTTTTTTTTGAGATGGGCTTGTTATAGAGCTTTTGATGGCCTGGAACATGCTAAGAACAGGCTGGCTCAAACTCACAGAGATCCACCTGCCTCTGCCTCTCAAGTGCTGGGATTAAAGGCATGAGCCAGCACACCTGGCTTATTTTTTTTTACACTATATGTTTCAGGATATATACACTGTTACACAGCATTTGTGAATATATGTTAATAAAATTTGGAAGATGGGCACATGGGCAAGCCCTTTTAAGCCAGTGTCTATAATTTTCAGTACTGTGGGCTTCACTGGAAAAACATTGTGTGCTCATCGGATAAAGGGACTGTTGGTATTGTTCCTACCCTTAACTAGCAGAGTTCTGGATGCACTGATCGTGTGCATGGATTTGATTCAACGTGAAACCATGTAAGTGTCGAACCCAAAGAAAGCCAGAAATGAGGCTTTTTAGGAAAAAAAGTGTGGGTTGATGTGTTCAGTATGCCATGTGGTTTGATGTTAATCAAGTAGCATGTTAGTTTGGCAAAAAGAACATTTGACAATTCAGTGGCTTAACATTTCTGGTTTTTGAAAGATTAAAAGAAGGGCTACATTTGGTGGAGATGTCCCTGTGAGAAACAAGCATTTGGTATAGTGTTTTCGTTTTATTTGACTTAAACTAATTACCTAAATTTTTTTTTAAAGTACTAAGTGGTATGATCTATAAGTAATTGATATTATATCCACAATAACTCTAGCCAATTTCCTAACTCATTATTTACTTAATTACTGTGTCTTGAAAAGTATGACCATGAACATGCATGTATGCATGTTAGGAAAGACATTTTGTACCAATATCCCAGACTTGAGTCTGTTATCATTTCCTAGTCTCTGTACAACCTCTGAACAATCCTGCTGCTATCCCGTGTGTAGTGTCGGAGCAAGGTGCTTAGAAAGAACCTGCAAGGCTCAAGTTCTCTCACTGGGAGAGTACCATGTTTACATTCCTGAGCCCATGTGCAGTCCCAAAAGGAAACGTTTAAAATCAGAGTTAGGAATCCAGAAACATAATTTTTTTTTTTTTGTCTTTTTGAGACAGGGTCTCCCTGTAGCCCCAGCTGTTCTGGAACTCACAGAGTTCCCAGCTGGCCTTGAACTCACAGAGATCCACCTGCCTCTGCCTCCCAAGTGCTGGAATTAAAGGTGTGCGCCACCACGCCCGGCTTCAGAAATATAATATTTTATAATGCTGAGAAGTTTTGCCCACATCTTATTGTATGTATTGTGTGTATGTGCATGTGGGTATGTTTGTGCACACATGTGCGCACATGTGCACCAGGGTGTGTGGAGGTCAGGAAGATAACTTACAGGAGTTGGTTCTTTCCTTCCATGATGTGGGTCTTGGGAATTTGAACTCAGGTCCTCAGGCCTGGCAGTAACACCCAAGAAAATTTTTTTTTTTTTTTTTTTTTTTGGTCTTTTTGAGACAGGGTGTCCCTGTAGCCCCAGCTGTCCTGGAACTTACTATGTAGACCAGGCTGGCCTTGAACTCACAGAGATCCGCCTGCCTCTGCCTCCCAGGAGCTGGGATTAAAGGCGTGTGCCACCACGCCCAGCCTCCAAGAATAATTTTTAAAAAATTTATTCATTATTTATGTGTGTGTAGCATATGTGTGGTGGCTAGAGGGCAACTTCATGGAGTTGGCTCCCTCTTCCCATCTTCCCACCTCTATTTTTTTTTGAGACAGGGTTGCCCTGTAGCCCTAGTTGACCTGGCCTGGAATTCACTCTACAAACCAAGCTGGTCTTGATCTCAGAGAGCCACCTGATACCTGACTCTGCTGGACTTAAAGGCGTGCCTGGCTTTTTTTCAGTGTCTTTTGTTTGTTTGCCTGTTTGCCTCTTTCCACTGAGTGGGTTTTGGGGATTGAACTCAGGTCTCCAAGCTTGCAGAGAAAGCACCTTTACTCCCTGAGCCATCTTACTGGCCCTCAGAATGATTTCTTAATGCAATGATTCTGTCTTTTAGAGGAAAAAAGTTTGAGAGGAAGCATATTGAAGTGTTCACTGACCTCAGCAGTCCATTCAGCCAAGACCAACTGGATATTATAATTCATAACTTGAAGAAATCTGGCATCTCCCTGCAGTTCTTGTAAGATCCTAAGAGTAACCTATACAGACACATTTCATCATCTCTAATGTAGTAAGTGGGTCCCTTTGTGGAGTGGTTCACTGTAGTCTTCTCTTTTGGCTGAGTAGGATTCTGTGAGGTAACTGACTGGTTGCCTCATATATACTGATTATACTTTGTGCTGTGTAACTGTTGTGAGTTTTGGTGATAAAGAAATGAATGACACAGTGATAGAAACTGAGCTCAGTAGCAGGTCATTTGAATACTGTTTTTTTTTTTTTTATTTTTTTGGTCCTTTTGAGACAGGGTCTCCCTGTAGCTCCAGCCGGTCTGGAACTTGCTATGTAGACCAGACTGACCTTGAACTCACAGAGATCTACCTGCCTCTGCCTCTGCTGGGATTAAAGGCATTTGCCTGACTTGACTAGAACACTATTTTTAGAACCATTGTACTCAGTCAGTCTCCTGTTTGTGTAGAAGACATTGGCAGACTGATGATTTTTTTTTTTTTTTACGTGACTCAGAGAATGATGTTCTATAAGCATGTGATTTTGGGTAGACAAAACTGTTATATTAGGAATCATAACACATATAATGCCTTTCTCAGGATATATAATAAAATGTGATTTGCTGTTTGTATTTAGAGATGGGTGTAAAATTTGGGGAGAAGATGTATGTTTTATAGTCTATAAGAAAGAATCTTTCCTCTCACAGTAGCTAGAATTTCCCCTCCAGCATTTACTTTCTTTATCTTATATCCCACTAGAAAATTCTTTTCATTATACTAATCCTTTCTGCTGCATTTGAAACCTATTTCTTTCTTCTTGTCCTATTTTAGGCAGAGGGATGATATAGGATGTTGAATTATTAATCTTATCAGGGATGTTCATTTTTCAAATTGAGAGATGTACTAAGCGGTTTCCAGCTCAGAGTGGTAAGCCGTTGGCTTCTTAAATTGCCTGCCATGGGGAATTAAGAACCTCTCTTGCATGCATGTAGCTCTTAAGATGGCTGAGGGGCATCTTCCTTCTGTGGGACAGTAGGGAAGACTTCAGAATAGCCCATCAAACTGATACTTGTTAAGATGGTACTTCAGAGAGATTAAGTGCTTTTTAAGTGACACTTCTCATTGAGTTGAGTTGAGGGTTCTCATTATTTCAGAAGTCCTGCTCAGCTTCCGTTCCCTGTCCATGATCTCTGGATGCCTCCTCATGGCTGAAGCCTACCGTACCGCACTTCTGTTAATGTTCTTTAAAGAGCTGCCTTTTATCTTTTTCTTCTTTGAAAGGAGTAGCACAGTAGAGTGTGCAGGAGAATGTAGCCTTTTCTTCTGCTTGCTTGTTATTTGACTGGTTGCATGTTTTTCCCTTGGGTAAGATGGTTTCTTCACATGCTACAAACATCCAGCAGAGTTTATGGTTTTATTGTTTGGTATATTCTATGTAGGATCAATTGCTTTAGTTTCATTTAAAAGTTCTAACAGTACAAGCTGGGTATGGTGGTGCATGTCTGTAGTCCCAGCACTTGGGAGGCAGAGGCAGGCAGATAATCTGATTTTGAGGCCAGCCTGGTCTACATAGTGAGTTCCAGGGGCTACAGGGAGATGCTGTTTCAAAAATACCAAAAAAAAAAAAACCAAAAAAACAAAACCCCCAAAAAACGTTCTAGCAGTACAGTAGCACTGCATTCAGAATAGGCTTGTTCCCTGGGCAAATTTTTAGTTTCAACTATTAACTATTGAGAAGGCTTATTTCTAGTCAAATACAAAAATGAGGTGGATTGCAGAGACAGATAGTGAAAGGTTCTTGAGATGGCTGAAATTATCCTAATGCCATGTCTCACAGAGAATCCTGCTTTTCTGATTATTTGGTTATGTAAGCCAGTACATTTTCCCCTTTATACCAAATGAAGTTTTGGCTATTTAAAACTGAAATAATACTAAGGTAGATAAGTATCATTTGACAGATGAAAATTATGAAGCTGGGTAAGGTTGACTGACAGGCATCTTTTCCATAGGCAGTGACAGTCACAGGATTGGAATCCGGCTTATTATTTGGTATCAGAGCTTACCTTCTTTACTACTGATCTTTCCTGATAGTTTGCCTTTTCCACTTGGCAAGAATGATGAAACTGGGGACAGAGGAGATGGCAGCTTGGGCTTGGACCACCGTGGACCCTCCTTTCCTCAAAAAGGAATTACTGAGCAGCAAAAAGAAGGTGCTCGGATGGTGAAAAAGGTGATGATGTCTTTAGAAGGTGAAGAGGGACTGGATGAAATTTATTCCTTCAGGTAGGAAGTAAAGACACTGGTGACACTTTTCATCTTATCCATATGCATTTCCTTTGATCAGAGGTCTCCCTAATGCTTTGCTTTTTCTGAGCCATTCTTGAATTAGCAGTTGTTCTTTGTAAATATTCTGAATTTTATTAAAGAAATTGCACATCAGCCCTAATCCCCCCTTTATTAGTTTGTGTGGTTCACACAGGGTTCTCATTTATTTTGAGACCCATGTCACTGAAGTTGATGACCAGGCTGGCCTCATACTCACAGAGATCCACCTGCCTCTGCCTCCCAAGTGCTGGGATTAAAGGCATGCACCACCAACCTGGCCCGATTTTTAATTTTATGTGTATGAGAGTTTTGTGTATATGTTTGTAGGTACACCCATGTGTGCAATGCCCATAGAGGCCAGAAGAGGGCATCAGATCCCCTGGAACTGGAGATGGGAATAGATGTCATTAGAGATTTAACAGGTAGTTTATTAGGGTGAGTACCAGGTTTTGTCTTTATGCCAAGCTTGGGGTACATTTCCTAGACCTCTCCTTTTCATATACCTACAAAAACTTCTTTTTTTTAAAAATGATTTTTAATTATTAAGGTGTGGATGTTATCTACCATATGGATGCTGGAAACTGAACCCAAGCTCCTCTGTAAGAGCAGTAAGTGCTCTTAACCACTGAGCCATCTCTCCAGTCCTTAAAAAAAGTTTTTTATTAGCATATATTACTCATAAATAATAATGACTTTTCATACATGTATTTTGATCATATCCCCCCCTTACGCTATCATGTCCCCTCCCACTCCTGCTGATCCCCTTCCTCTTCCCAACTAGTCGCCCTTCTACTTTCATGTCTTTTTTTTTTTGGCAACTCAATGAGTTTAATTGAGGGTGTGTACTGGAACATGGGTGAGGAATTGTTTAAAGAAACATGAGCTATACCACTGAAGAAAAGGAGTGTCTTTTCCTCCTCTCCTGCCCCCAAAAGAAACTCTCTCTTTCTTCCTTAGAAACCATTTATTGCCTATAGATCCTCAGGGCACGGTAGGTCTTGTAAGCCCCTCTCAACTCCATGATGGGATGTTGACAGGCCCAGTCTTGTACAGGTCTTGTACAATAATCACAGCTGCTGTAAGTTCAAGAGTATAATGGCCATGCCATGACTGGTAGACAGCATTCCACAGCACTTCAGCCCTTCCTCTGGTTTTCACATTTTTTTATGATTTCCCTTCCGCAATATTCCCTGAGTCTTTTAGGGGCTATAGATGTCCTGTTAGGGCTAAGCATTCAACCATCACTTGTTCTCAACACTTTGACCAGTTATGGTCTCCACAGTAACTGCTATCTACTACAAAAAGAAGCTTCTCTGATCAAAGCTGGACAGTACCACTAATCCATGGGTATAAACATAAATATTAAAAAGGCAGTTTGAGGGGGATATCATATCTTTTAGCAAAACATCGGCAATAGCTTCCTTACTGACCTATAACCTCCCCAGCCATGAGCTTTTGGTCAGGTTTGTAGTGCCAGATGTGGCTTCCTTCTTGTGGAGCAGGCCTCAATTCCTATCAGGAAAGGTTACTCCTATAATAGTTATGCCATTGTTATACTAGTGGGCACATCTTGCCTGGAAAGTTGGTTTTGTAGCATACGGGGTCCGCAGCTGAGTAAGACTTGTTTTTTGTTTTAGTTTTTTGTTTTTTGTTTTTGTCTTTTTGAGACAGGGCCTCTCTGTAGCTCCAGCTGGCCTGGAATTCAGTGTAGACCAGGCTGGCCTCGAACTTACAGAGATTCACCTGCTTCTGCCTCCTGAGTGCTGGGATTAAAGGCGTGTGTCACCATGCCCAGCTAGATTGTTTTTTAAAAAGATTAATTATAACCAGGTATGATGGTGCACACTTTTAATCCCAGCACTTGGAAGGCAGAGGCAGATAGAGGCAGGCAGATATCTGTGAGAGACTAGTCTGGTCTACATTGTGAGTTCCAGGCCAACTGAGGCTACATGGAGACCCTGTCTCAAAAAAAAAAATTAATATATTATTTTTAATTAGGCATATGTTTGTGGGTATGTGGAGGCCGGAGGTATCACATCTCCCTGGAGCTGGAATTATGGGTGGTTGCGAGCCTTCTGCTGTAGGTCCTGGGAATTGAACTTGGATCCTCTGCAAGAGCAGTATGTGCTCTTAAATACTGAGTCATCTCTGCTGCCCTGTTGATGACAGTTCTCCTCCTAGCAGCCTGTATAGCACCTTCCAGTACTATGAGAGCTAGCCAGCAGGGAAGAAGTTTCGTACTTAGTTTTGGCCTGATCTTTCTATGTCCTGCAACCAAAGCATGTGTCTTCTACAATAGGGTCTTACCATCTAGTTCTGTTGGGCAACAAAAAGTAGTGGCAATAGCCTATATTGTTTTGGAGGCCCCAAGGACCTTCCTGACCAACAACTCATAAAGAGGTTGCCCACTCCTAGCACTGGGATTTTCATTTAATAATCTGCAACTTCTGAGAGCAGCTTTATCTACCATGCAGGGTACCGCTGTTTAAACTTAAAAAATTTTTATTTATTTATTTATTTAGACAGGGTCTCCTTGTAGCCCCAGCTGTTCTGGAACTTGCTGTGTAGACTAGGCTGGCCTTGTCCCCTCTCACAGAGATCCACCTGCCTCTGCTTTTTTCATCTACCCATAGTAGAGACTGTGGGAGAGACCATCTCTTTTGTCCATGTTATTCTTGATTAGAATAGGATTCACATTTATTTTGGGCAAAGAATCTGGGAAAGAGCAATACTATCCATAGTGATATGTTTGAGGAGTTTAACTTGGTAAAAGTGTCTATGGAATTTACCAAGTAGCTTGATTTGTGTGGATTCAGAGTCTCAGGGATAATGCTGCTTTTGTTTATTAATTAATTCCTTTTATCTATCAAGACACAAAATTTAGGCAGTGTAAGAAAAGTTCTCAATTGAAGTAGATTTTCTGAGTAGCAACAGTTCACATCTGTTTTTTCTCAGCTACAATTTTTAAGTGTTTCTGGTGAGCTGTAACTGAGAAGAAATACATCATGATTTGTAAATATGGACACCCTTGAAAAAGTATTGGTAAATAGAAGTAGAATTGTAATTTCCCAAGGAATTCATGAGGAATCCTCTGAAGTGAAACATCTTAACATATGTGTTCTTGTCACACCGTGTCGATTCCTGCTTTTAAGTTGTTTCTCTCTCAAATTTGGGAACACATGCTTTAGGCAAACATATTAATCACAGTTACATGATGAGAAGTATAGGTCAGTATAACTTACTATTTAAAAAATATCTCCCCCTCCCCTCAGTAAGCAGGTAAATTATTGACTATGAATGTCCTAGTACTTTGAAGCTACTTTGGTTTTGGGTCTGCCATGTAGACCAGAACTTAGCCATCCAAATATAGTGGTTATTCAAATTTAAGATAATTGTAATTAAATGGATTTTCAAGTTCAGTTTCTCTGATATTGTACATGTGGGCTCTTTGTCCCAGTGATTATATAAATAAAAACCAAGACTAGAGAATGAACTGTCAGGCAACAATTTTAATTGAAAGGAAAAAGGGGTTGAGGAAAAGGGAGAGCACTGATTGTGGGAAATTACATTTATATAAAAAATTAAAGATTTTCCCTTAAACAGAATCCATATCTCATGAAGGTTGTCATACATGGACTATTACTCTCTTATGTGATAGGTTAGACCTGGTTCAGATCTACTTGTTCTCCAACAAGCCCAATGCCAAGGTCTACTACAGACTTTGGTAGCAGAGGTAGTATATCTCCTGTTAGAACAGAATAGGTGAATATCTCCTGCAAATTAGTTCCAAGAATTGGAGTCTGTTGAGGTTTCTCTGTCTCTAACTCAGTGGACAATATAAGGTCATTCCCTGCCACTTTATAGATCTTTTGTAGATCATCTGTACGGAGGAAATCAGTCAAAAGGACTGGATTGTGTGCTTTGAGTATATTCAACCATTCGTTCCTTTGTTCTTTATTGTAATGAATGCCAGAAATCCAACCTATTCTGTAGTCTTCTCTTTGTGATTAGGGGCGGATAAAACCCAAACTGATCTTCATCTTTGTTTAAATGAAGCATCATTCTGCATTGTATTTGTCATCTTCCAGCCCTTCCCACAAGCGTTAGCTATTTCACATGAAAACCCAATATAGACTACTCATTTTGTATTAGTTACTTTTCTGTTGCTGTGATAGAAACACTGACCAAAGCAATTTATAGAAAATTTCATTTGTGCTTACAGTTCCAGGGGAATTATAGTCCATCCCGGTAGGGAGGCATGGTGGCAGAGGTGGCTGGAGGAAAAGCAGAAGCTAAGCTCTACATCTTCCAGCAGGCACAGGAAACAAGGGAGCAACTGGAGATCCGGCAAGGATTAAGAACTCTCTAAGTCCACCCCTAGTGGCGTGCTTCCTCCAGGATAGCCACACCTTCTAAGACCCCCCCAAACAGCGCCACCATTTGGACAAAAAATGTCCAAATACTTGGAGCCTATGGGGGACATTTTCATTCAAACCACCACACATTTCCTTTATTTCCTGGGTAGTCTTTATTCTACTGTGTGCATATGGAAGCAGCATGTCTTTTATTAGGGTACTTGGCATTGACTAATGAATTATGAGCAGTTATGCTATAGGCTGATGCCTTCCCTTTGATATCCTGGACCGGGGCAGGGGGAGGGGGTCCATATTCTCAGGTTTGTTTTCAGGGAATTTTAATTGTCCTCCTCATATTGAGTGTTAACTCATTTGTGAATGTGCTTTTATCATATCCTCAAAGGTGTCCTTGGTCCTGAATGTTAAGAATCCCTGGCAGAGCTGAAAGACATGGATGAATAGAGGAAGCTAGAGCTGTTTCTTTTCATGTGTCAGTACAGTGATTCAAGTCATTTTTCCTCCCAACTCAACCCACTTGTCTTCTGGCTCTTTCCGAAGTGTGGTTGTCATTTTTGCTGCTATGCCCTGCTGTTCTCTTTATAATCAACAACAACTCACTTCTCATGCTAGAAAAATAAGTACGTCATCTAGCCCAAATTAACATCTTAAAATTGTTTCTTTCATTGTATATTTTCCTTTACTAAGTGAGAGTCTTCGACAGCTGTGTGTCTTTAAGAAAATTGAGAGGCGGTCCATGCCCTGGCCCTGCCAACTGACCATTGGCTCCAATTTATCGATAAAGATTATAGCCTATAAATCGGTAAGTAGTAAGTACACATTTTAAAGCAGTGTTACCAGGCAGATAAATACACTTATGTAAGGTGCTGACAATTCATGTGTGAGTGATTCAGAGTGTAATTACTGCCTCTCTAGCTGGTCTCCCTTCTATTCAATCTCTGTGTAGCTTTGCATCTAAATGGCATACAAGGAGGAGGTTTAAGAATTGTATATAATACAGCTTGATTCTTCCTCTTTCTCTTTTTCTGAGTTGATAATTGATTGTTAATTAGGACTTCAGGGCTCTGTTTCTTTTTCTTTTTAGAGAAAGAAAATATAATGGATTACCTTGTCATTGTAATCTTAGCAGGAATGTCAGAGTAATGTTTAGAGCTTTGGAGACTCAGTCACACCTAATTAAATTATTAGTGGTCCAATAGTAACATCTACGAAATGTCAAAAAATGATGACTTCTTAGTATCAGATTGTGTTTTGTAATGTATGTACATTTGTACGTGATAGTTCGTTTTCAAAAGTGAATTGCTTTTGGTGATTATTTGATGAAATTCCAGTCTCAGTGTAAATCTCTGATCTTTGCCTCAACATGAGCTTTCTTGTTCCCCCTCAAATCTGTACTTAAAACGTTTTAAGTCTGTGAAATAAATATATAAACTTATTTTTTGTATGTTTAAGAACTTGATTCCAAAAAATATCATGGGAACCTTGGATATTTTCCTTTACTAAGTGAGAGTCCACTAGGCGTTGACAGCTGCCATGTTATTTTGGGTTCCATCAACACCAAAAAGATCTGCCTAGAGATGAGAACACAGTCTTCTTTTCTCCTTTGTTCAGGTTTCCTTTGTTGGCTTCTGACTACTGATACATTGCTCTCCTTTTCTTCTTTATTGGAAAACTGTGATAAAATGTATAGTCCCTCTTTATTAGCAATCTGAGGGCTTTGTATAGAAAATACATATGTGTATTCAGAAACTTCTGTGTACCTAGGGAATGTAGACACAGTTATAAGGTATTCCCTCTTAGGAAATAAACTAAAGTTTATATAACAGACAAGAAGAAACTAAATAAAGTAGCTAGAATAATTGTTCACAGAGTATGTTATGTTTTCATCTTCTATCAATTAGAGTTATGCCTTTCTGTATTTTCCCTTTATCTTTTTGGAAATAAGATTCTGCAGGAGAAAGTTAAAAAGACTTGGGTAGTTGTGGATGCAAGAAGCCTAAAGAAAGAAGATATACAAAAAGAAACAGTTTATTGCTTAAATGATGATGATGAAACTGAAGTTTCCAAAGAGGATACTATTCAAGGTATGCTAGCAAGTACTTGTACTTTTGCAAAAAAAAGAAAGAAAAAACTTTCTTCAAGGTGATGGGAGGTAGGCTAGGCTATTAGGTAGGCCAGGATATTCACTTCAAGGTGATGAGAAGTAGGCTAAGATACTCACTTGGAGATGTTTCTGAGTTAGAGTTGCAACTGAGGAAACAGTAAGACACTGGCTCCTGTGGGTCACCAGGGATTTTAATTTTTCCTTCCAAATTTAAATGTCTGAAGTGACAGGACTTTATTTTAATCTGTAAATTCACTAGCTAGGAGAATGCTTATATTAAAGTGGCTAGAACAATTTTTTTTTGCATATTCTTCCCAGTGACAATTTCAGATTTTATACCCTACCAGATATGCTCCCCTAAGTTAATTTAAGGAATAAAAAGATTAGTTTTATTGTAGTGGGTTATACTCCCTGGGTTCTTTAAAGTTGTGCTAATTTGTCATACCCATTTGGTTTGAGTGGTATGTTTAAATGGTGTTTTTATCCATAGGACTTAAACACTAGTTGAGAATATCTAAATGCTCAAGAGTTAAAAATCATAAGATACCAAATAACACTTAAGATGGCAACCAGGATGCTTATATACATACATTTTATTACCAAGTTGTATACATCTATTGTAGTTTTAATTTCCTAATCCTGGAAATAAAGTCATATATGTCACTGTATATTTAAGTGTGTTAGGGAGTGGGGTGGTTTAAAGGTGATGCTGGATGTCCTGGTTTGTTTCTTCATTGCTGTGACAAAATACTCTGACCAATACCAACTTGGGGAGGAAAGGGTTTATTTGTCTTACATCTCCCAGGTCACAGTTCATCAGGGAGCCCAAGGTAGGAACTCAGGACAGGAACCTGGAGGCAGGAGCTGGAGCACAGGCCATGGAGGAACGCTGCTTACTGGGTTGCTCTCTGGCCCCTGCTCAGCCTGCTTTCTTATGCAACACAGGCCCACCTGCCCAGGGGTGGCACCACCCACAGTGGGCTGAGCCCTCCCACATCACTCATCAAGAATATGCCCTTCAGACATGGCCACAGGTCAGTCCAATAGAGGCAATTTCCCAATTGAGGCTCCCTCAACCTGGGTATGTCAAGTTGACACTAAAGCTATCCAGCACACTGGATATAACTTTTTTCTCCTGATGTACAGAATATACTTAATACCTTACAATTTTTACTAATTGTTTAATTGAATTCAATAACATAACATAGCACACGAATTTTGGGATTATACTTGAGTTGGAACTGTGACTCTGTCATTAGCTGATCATGGCATCCTGTATAAGAAATGGTCCATAGTAGGAAGAACAGCAAGAGTAAAGGTACAAGACCAGGAACGTGGGGGGACTGTGGTATGCCTTAAGTGGCAGCCTATATTTTCTCTCTTAATTCATTACTTAATGAAGCAGACACTCTCGCCATTTCTGCTTTACAGATAAGGACTGTAGTCGTTACTTTTCTCTTTGCTGTGACCAAATACTTGACAAAAGCCACTGAAGGCAAGAGGGGTTTATTTTGGCTCATAGTAAAGTATTTTGGAGGTATAGTCTATCAAGCAGGGAAGGCAGAGTGACAGGAATGTGAGGCAGCTGGTCACATTGCATCTGAAGTCAGGAAGCAGAGGGAGATGAGTGCTGGTGCTCAGCTCACCTCCATTTTGTTCAGTTCTAGACCCTAGCCATTGAGATGGGGCCACCTACATTGAGGGTGGGTCTTCCCACCTCAGTTAACACAGTGTCAGAATTCTCTTACAGAATTCCTTTACAGACAGGTCCAGAGGTTTGCTTCCATGCTGATTCTAAATCCCATCAAGCGGATAATCAAGATTACTGTTGCAAGGACCAAAGCTGAAAGACTTTCATTAACATACTTAAAGTCACAGAGCTAGCAGCCAGCGGAACTTGGACTGTGTTCCTCAAGAATCTATTCCTCCATACTGTTCAGAACTAGGACTCACAGAGGGTTTTGAATGATAGACCTGAGTTTATATATAGTTTTAAAAGCAAAATGGATCCATTTATAGCTTGGGGAAACTTTGTATCTTGAAGCTTTTAGAAGAATGCGCTTAGGAATAGGAATATGACAGCTGATGCAGGGTGGGTTAGAAAGAGAAAGGACTAGAGATGAAGGTACCAGTTCTTTGGTTGCTAACAAAGAAAGCTGTGGTTCTCTCTGACAAGAAATTTTTGGGGTGGGGCATTGGAAGGGGAATAGTTAAAAACTTTTTGGATTCACTTAGTATAGAAATAGGTCTTTTCAGCTGAGTGTGGTGGTGCATGCCTTTAATCTCAGCACTCAGGAGGCAGAGGCAGGTGAATCTCTGTGAGATTAAGGCCAGCCTGGTCTACATAATAAGTTCTAGGCCATCTGGGGCTACAGGGAGACCCAATCTCAAAAAAAAAAAAAAAAAAAAAAGGGAACACCTCTTTTCTCCCTTACCTGTTTGTAGTTAGTTACCTGTAGCTTTCCTTTGCTTGTCTTCCCTCTCTACCCACTAATGTGTGGGTATTCTCTTTCTTACCCAGAGGACACAGGCAGGCCAAAGAGTATGATTATGTTGTAGTCTGTTCTATACCTTCTGCTCTTTAAGTAGGAGAACCAGAATACACAGGCAGTTTTAATTAGCACTCCTAAGTTACTGTGAATTTAAATTAAAAAATGACTAATGACAAGAAGTTAGAAACATACTTGGTTTAGGGATGGCTCTGTGAGTAAAGTGCTTGCTGTGCAAACATGAGTTCAGATCCCAAGCACTCATGTAAAAGCTGGGTGTGGCAGTTCACACCTATAACCCCAGTGATGGAGGGGTAGAGATGGGGCCACCTCAGTGGCCAGTCAGTCTATCCAAAATGGAGAGCTCCGGTTTCAATGAGAGATCCTATTCCAAAAAGAGCAGTGGAGGAAGATACCTGAGGTCGATCTCTGGCCTCTATACATACATACACAGGCATGCATATATACCACACACATATTCATACAAAAAAGAATATTTGTTGCTGGGCGCCGTGGTGCCTGTCTTTAATCCCAGCACTCAGGAGATAGAGGCAGGCAGATTTCTGAGAGTTCAAGGCCAGCCTGGTCTGTGTAGCAAGATCCAGATCAGCTGGGGCTACAGGGAAACCCTGTCTCAAAAAGACAAGGAAAAAAAAAGAAAAAAGAAAAGAAAGAAAAATGGTTTAGATACCCCTCTTAATCATGTCATGCATTTTCCTATTGATTTTTTTTGGTTGGAAATTTTGAATTTGTTGTTATCTTTTAAAAAAGACATGCACGAAAATAGAAATTTGTTTCTTTTTAATAAACTACATTCCATTAACAGTCTAACAGGAATAAACACTGGACAACAGAATCTGCCCCCAGATTCTCACTGTTCCTACTGTTTCTTAGAGAAAAGACAAATGTGTTTTCCTTTGTATTAACAAGGCCAGAACTCTTGGGTTTGAATGATCTCTCTTGTTATTACACACAAGATGCTGCATACTGAAAGTATAACCTTCCGAAGAGTAGAGACCATTGAACAGAGTTGGCGTTTTTGTCTGTTTTATGGGGGCAGGGTGCGATGATGACGATGACTAAGAGCCCATTTATCTTAACTATTCTAAGAAGTTAAAAAGAAGATAAATGAAACCAAATTTCAGTGATAAAATTAATTTAAATTTGCAAAAGTACAGAACTTACTGATTAGCTGCTTCTAAATAGAAGAGTTTTGGCTTCTTCCTAATTAGATGACTGAAGGCATGTGTTCACACCAGCAGGTGTTTTTAAACATTTTGTTCTGAAAACTTCCTGTGGGCCATTTTCTCTGTGGATCTCTGGGTTTCTGAATAAATTCATTTTTTATTATGTTTACAAATCATGCTTGTACTTTAGTCAAGTATGGTTATCTTTGGAGGGTAGCTAGTGTATTGCATTTGCAATGTTCCTTCTAGGCTGGATAATCATTAAGGTAACTAGATTGCAGAAGATGCTACTTTAAAAATGTAATTAGATTTAATCGTCTGTATGTGGTGTATGTGGCTTGTTTCTGCTGCTGCTTTTCCCCTGTTGATCACAAGGGGCAGTCATTTGATTCCAGAGAGTAGAAGATGGAGGCTGGCTCTGGAGTGTGCATGATAATGTATGCATGGAGCTTATTTCAGTTTGGAGAAAATGAGGCCCCATATGCTTAACAGATGCTTTTCTCTCGTTCTCCAGGGTTTCGCTATGGAAGTGATATAGTTCCTTTCTCTAAAGTGGATGAGGAACAAATGAAATATAAATCGGAGGGGAAGTGCTTCTCTGTTTTGGGATTTTGTAGATCTTCTCAGGTACAGCAATTATTCTGAAATTGTGAAAAAAAATACATGTACCCCTCTTCCCTACCCCCCCCCCAGTAACTTGAGATGGTTCGATTTTGATTGGTCGTTTATTTACAATTCACACTTATTTCTGTTTTAGTCTTCTAAAATGTAGTCTGGGGATTAGTGTTGCCATCTTTGATTTAAATTTTTTCAATTTGTGTTGGTGTGTGTGTATGTGTGTATACATGTGTCCATGTTGTGTGTGGAGGATACACAACCTCAGGTGTCCATGCCTTGGGTGCTGAACAGCTGTGTTTTGAGGCAGGGTCTCTCATTATCCTGGAACTTGCCAAGAAGGCTAGGCTGGCTAGGTGGCCAGTGAGCCCAGGGATCTGCCTGTCTCTGCCTCATCAGTGCAGGGATTACAAGTACATGCTACTACTCCTGGCTTTTTAAAAATGTGTGTTCTGGGATTGAACTCATGTCCTTGTGTTTGTGCTTTGAGTTATCTCCTAAGCCCATCATCTTTGATTTTTAGAGGGAAAAACCAAGATGTAGAGAATCAGTCTGTCTGAAGGATACATTTAATTAAGCCACTTCTTCATCTTGCTGACCATCCAATGCTTTCTCTAAATTGTGATATATAGTGGGGTCTTCTTTAAATGATTGAAACTCTAGCTAGGTTTTCAGTGACAATTAACTCTTACAATATAATTGATTTACATTGGTCACCTTTCTCCTCAATTTCTTCAGAATTCTAAAATGTGAAACTTATCTACAGGTCATGTTTTTTAGGCACCAAGGTATAGATACATAAAATAGACATAATGGAAATATAGCAGTTCACCAAGTAATACTATATACTCTCTTAGGAAGGATTGTTCAGTGATTCTAAGAAATTGTAGATTCATTGTTCTTGGGCTAGACTGCAAACAAGATGCATTGTAGTTAACTAATTATCAGTGCTATATGTTTGTGTGTATTTCCCCCAGTCTATAGGGGTGAAGAGATTTTTATTGGAGAACTCAATGTGAGAATTATAATGAAAATAATATCCAGTATTCTGGATTTAAAGTTCTTGGTGTTGCCCTAGCATACGGGTCCTGTGTACTTCTGTGTTAGAATTCAGTAAGGTTTAGGAGAATTGCTTTAGTGATTGTATATACTGTTATAAGTGTCTTCAGAACTCATAAGCCATGGGTTGGAAAGATGGCTCAGCCATTAAGAGCTTATACTCTCATACTGTTCTTCCAGAGGACCTGAGTTTTTTCTCTGAGCCCATGTTGGGTGGATTCACTGTCCTCTTCTGGTTTCCATGGGCACTTGCACATACACGGCAGTTATTGATGCAGACATAGACACATACATGTAAATAAAAATAAATCTTAAAAAACAAAAGTCTTCGTAAGTGAGAGTACTTAAAATTTTTAAGGTTTTACTGGTGAGAAAACTTTTGGAAGTTAAAAGTCACTAACAATTCTCTAATGATGTATGTGCTTTTCTTAAAAATAAAATTATTTACTTTGGAAAGCATATAAACCTAAAACTTATTACTAATAGCAATGTTTATGAATCTTAAAAAAATTGTTATTTTTATTTTATGTGTATGAGTGTTTTTCCTGCATGTAGGTAAATGCACCCATGTTGTGCAATGCCCACAGAGAACAGAAGAGACCATCAGATTCCCTGGAACTGGAGTTACAGTTGTTGGCTGCCATGTGGGTGCTGGGATTCAAACCTGGGTCTTCTGCAAGAACAATCAGTGTTCTTAACTGCTGAGCCATCTCTCCAGCCCCTAGTCTAATCTTCATTGATCTGTAATTTTCAGTTTTTCCTTTATACCTTGCCACTGTTCTACTGTAAAAGCAATTATGCAAATGTACATATACTGCCTGTACGCACGCCACTTGAAACTGTTATTAGCACTATTATGTCCGCTTGTGATCTTGTATCTAGCCTTTTCTTTCGTCTAGTTCCTGCTTATCTATCAAGTCTTGGCATAGGTGTCAGTTTTTGTGTAAACCTTTCGGTCCTCCTGACCGAGCTGGCTTCCTTCTTGTTGTTTTAGTTCTCAGGGATGTGACTTGAACCCAGGGCCTCACATATGCAAGGCAAACACACTGCTCCTGAGCTATGTCCTCAGCCCTTTCAGTGCCCCTCTTAGTGTTCTTATAATACCAGTTAACCTTGGACTATAACATGGTGTCCAAGTTAGTTTTGTACTTATCTGTCTAAGCTCCTCAAGGATAAGATTCTATCCTCTGCAATGTTGTATTTGTATCTGAAACAATGTAGGGAATGTGCTAGGTGCTTGTACATTATGCTGAATTGAATTGAGCCTCAGGTGTTGTTTTTAGTAGTTGTGAATGCTTTCCTATAAGAGCATTTGAAGTTGCAATGTGTGACATCACAGCTGTATGTATTTCTCATTCCAAAACCAATTTTTTTCCTCTTTTGCTCTTGTAGGTCCATAGAAGATTCTTTATGGGAAATCAAATTCTAAAAGTCTTTGCAGCAAAAGATGATGAGGTGAGTTTGGTGTGGAAGTTTGAGATAGTACCACGAACTGAATTGCCATTTTGGGAATGTGCGTAGTTAGTGACTTTAATATTTTCAAATGACGTGAATATTTGCAACAGCAATGGGAAAATTCGCTGACCTTTAACTCTGTGAGTGGAGAAATGAAAAATGAGTTGTCTGAGCATGAGCAGAACACCTGAGGGCATAGTTCTGCAGTTGGAGGCTATGTGATAGTAACAACAGTAATATGTTTTACAGTGCTTTTTAGGTGTAGGACTTTCAAGATCAGGTGCTAAGGAGAGTTGGATCAGGTTGACATTGGCTTTTCATGAACATTGAGCATTTAGTGCTAGTCCTGGAGAAGTGCTTAAGTGACTCACCAGGCTGTTTTCATCACTGGGGAACTTTGTCTTTTCTTTCCTTCTTTCTGTACCCCTTCTTTCTGTGCCCCTTTCTGTACTTTCTGTACTCCTTCTTTCTGTACCCCCTTCTTTCTGTACCCCTTCTTTCTGTACTCCTTCTTTCTCTTATTCCTGAGATTTTCTGTTCTCAGGCTAGTTTCTGCCTGACAACCTTGACTTTGCAACCTATACTCATATTTCCCATCTTTGTACATATTTTCTGAAATATTAATGAACTTAATGATTCATTGATAATATTGATCGTAGCTGGAAAATTGTAATACAGTATATGTTTAAAACAGTCTAAGTAGGTTTCCAAGTTCCAGAAGTATTTGCATTAAAAAATAGTGAACTGAATGTGGAAGACTTGTGTGGGGTGGTAGTAGGGTGTTGATACCCTCTTTTTCTCCACACTTCTGAAATGTGGCTGGCTACTCTCATGGTAGATGGTTATGTCGTTGTTGTATGAGAACAGTTAAAATCAGGAGAAGAAAATGCTTGATTTCCACTGTACTGGGTGGATTCATCAGCACTATAGACATGTGATGCTTTGGATTTGAGAATTCGAATGCATGGGTTTCTCCTGATTCAAGCCTTAGAAATTGTGCATGCTGATCTGTTATGTATTGTTAAAGCACAACTCCTTTAAATTTCTGCTATAGATTTAACTTCCACTTTTTTTCCCTTTCCACAAAGATAATTCTGGTCACTTCTTGACAATTTCTCGGAATGTAGCAAGGAATGCCCCCATTTCAAGGCTGTGTTGATGCACGTGTTGGATATTTATGCAAATTTGCCAGCTAAGGGCAACCTTATGAATTGCACGATTCAATGACAAAGCTTGGTCATTTAAGTAACTAATTTCTGTTGTCAAAGTCAAATAAAAATATAGAGACAAATTTCTAATAAAGGAACTTGTATTTGGAAAAAAAACAACAACTACTACTATTCATTATACCCAGAACACATATGCATGTGCCTGGCATCCATTAGTGAAGAATAGAGGAAAGTTTAGAAGTTCTATTAGGATCAAGAAATCTGTGCCGTTATTATGAACTTTATTGGCACTTTTGGTGCTTCAGGGATCTGGCAGACTGGTTGAGAGCTGTGGCAGTTCCTAGATAAAGCTAGTCCTAAGGCTACAGTTGGCAGTTCTGTGGTCAGTTGGTGGCTGTTTTTGAAAAATTGATATTATCTAACTGAAACTTAGGAGATAAACGGGAGGAAGAAAAGTATGTTGTATGCATACTTTCAGTTTTAAAAAATGCATGCAGAAGATGTGTGTGGGTAGAGAAAGAGTAGGAGGGAGATGACAGATACAATAGCAGTCTTCATATATCTCAAGGATGATTATGCTGAATAGAAATTAATCTATGCTTCATAGCAGAGAAGTGAACTGGGTACCAACAGGTGGGGAGTTTTGTTCCAGATGAGCTATTTGGTCCTCAGAGAGTACTCTCTCCAAATGGATTGCTTTCTTGTGAGGTGGTCAGATGCCCATTCCTGTAAGTTTGCAAGCAAAGTCTTCAGTACCACAGTCAGGTGCATCATATGGGGTGTTAAAGTAAATGAATATTACTGGTTTTCAATTACAGTATTATATGGTTCTATGAATAACTCCTTTAAAATGTTTTCTCTTGTCATTTATACACATAATGGTGTGTGTTTGTGTGTGTGTGTGTGTGTGTGTGTGTGTGTGTTTAGACATTATATACATTTATGGGCTGATTTGTCCAAAGTGGAAGAGAAGAGAAAGGAAAAGAATGGGAAGTTCAGTTGAGTTAAACATAGGCAGGTGTAGTATTGTGTTACAATATAGCAGATGATCAGGAGTTCATCATTCCTTACACTAATATCCTGATTGGGCCTGTCAAAGAGACCCAAGTGCAAAAACAGATTAGAAGTAATCTCTTTCCCACCCTCCCACTTTGCTTATCTGGTCCTCTCTCATGGGACTTAGTATTCAAACACATTGTCCTCTTTGATACATCTGTCATTTCTTCTAGTAAAGAATTAGTTATTTCAATGAAGTCAGAGATTCATCTTTGTTCTAGACAGGGCCCAAGAGAGTACCTAGCAAAGAATGGGCTTAATGTAAGTATTTTTCTAATTGAGCTGAAACTATCTATTATGAAATCTGTAGAGGACTTTAAGGCTATACGCTTTTTTTGGTCTTTTTTGAGACAGGGTCTCCCTGTAGCTCCAGCTGTCCTGGAACTCACTATGTAGACCAGGCCGGCCTTGAACTCACAGAGATCCACCTGCCTCTGCCTCCCAAGTGCTGGGATTAAAGGTGTGTGCCACCACACCCGGCCGAGGCTATAGGCTTTTATGGAAGGAACAGGCATACATATAGCTAACTTTGACACAGGTTAGCTGTGATTTAAGAAAAGTACAGTGTCTGGGGAATTTGGAAAAGAAAGTTGAGTAAGACAGATCTGAAATGGTGAGGGTGTCGATTTACTGAGCCTTGCAAATGAGTTAGAATATAGTGGGTGGAGATTCTAGCCAGAAAGAAATTATATAAGCAAAAACACCAAGGGAGGGAAAGTACAAGACCCACTCCTGGTCACTGATTAGCTCTGTGAGACTGGAATAAAACTATTGGGGGTTTATGGACTGAATTGACATCACCTCTACACAGGTGAGGCACTGATGGATTTGAGAGACTGCATAGAGGCAGAGTAAAGCTGAGGGATGGGGCAGGTGGTGTTATCAAAGACTTTGAGGTTGTAGTTTTGTTGAGTGGGCAGGGGAGTTAGTGGATGTAGGAAATACAGGAGAAAGGCAGGAAGATGTGTGGTTAAGATGAGCTATCTACCACAAGTGTTAAGTTTGGATCTTAGGAGGATATTTGCGTGTGTGTGTGGGGGGGGGACTGTGGTGTGTACATGTGAGTTGCAGGTGTGCACACACATATGTAGAGGCCAGAAGATGGTGTTGGGTGCCTTCCTTTATTTTATTGCTTTGAGATAGAGTCTCTCACTGAACCAGAAACTTGCCATTTTGGCTAGGCTTGATGACCAGCAGCCTCCCAGGATCTGTCTCTACCCCCTAATGCTGAGGTTACAGGCACACACAGCCATGCCTGGATTTTTACATGGGTGCTGGGGATTCAAGTTCATGTCCTTAGTTAGAGCAAGCACTCTTAGTCACTGAGCCATCCCCCTAGCCCTTAGGAAAGTTTAAAGCTGAATGTATAGGTTTTTGGCTCTTCAGCTCATGGAACTGGATTAAATAATTCCCAAGGGGAATTTTAGGGTGAGAAGAAGAAAGACACTGAAGTAAAATTGAAGAATTAGTTAGAAAAAGAAAAGAGCTTGGGGGAGCAGTGACCCCAGAATAATTAGAGGAGTGTGTGACTGCTAAAGTCAAAGGATGTATGAAGAATGGGGCAGAAGCTGGTGAGTCCACAAACTGCAGTGGGAGCCAAATATTTGGCAGATAGAAATTAGGGGGAACGCCACAGGGCAGTTCATTAGGAAAGCAGAGGCTGTAGCTGGGTTGGCGCAATGAATAACTACGTTCTGAGCAGTTGAAACAGCAAGGCTATTCATGACATTTCTGGAGAAAAAGAAAGCTACAGATATAGTGGTAGCTTATGTAAGGAAAGGGACAAAGAAAGATTTTGTTTAGGGAGGCTAAGTCTTGGGTTTAGGGGTGAGGAAAGGCAAGGTTGAAGTAGAGGGTAAAGTTTAGTAAAGTCCTCGAAGAGGCATGCTAAATGTGCAGTTTGATTTTGAAGTAGATAAAAAGACATTTTTATTTTATTTTATGTTATAGCTCTAACCCAGGGCTTTATGCATTCTAAGCAGTCACTGTACCCCTCAGTTATATATCTTTTAGTCTCTGGGGCTTAGAAAATATTCTGAATGAGAAGAAAGCTGATGATACCTGTATAAATACCCGGGTTTTGTTTATGTGTATATAAGTTCTCACGTATTGGACCCGTGCTAATATCTGTATCTTTCTTACAGGCTGCAGCAGTTGCACTTTCTTCCCTAGTTCATGCTTTGGATGAATTAGACATGGTTGCCATTGTTCGATATGTTTATGACAGAAGATCTAATCCGCAAGTTGGCGTGGCCTTTCCTTATATTAAGGATGCCTATGAGGTAAAACCCACAGGTCTTTTTTATTCATTTTTCCCCTTCCAGTATTGGGGATCCAACCCAGGGCCTCGTTCCTAATAGGCAAGTGCTCCACTGAGGTGGTGCTGCATTAAAGAATAACCAACTCTTGGATTCATTTAAGCCTGCAGTGAACCTGATATGTTTGAAGTGTTCTAACTTCTCTCAGAATTGTTCTGTTCTCTTTTAGCAAAGGGCTTTCTCTGTCTTATTGATCAGCATATCAAGCAAGGTATGAGAAAGGAATCAGCAGTCTTAGATGAGTTTGACCAGGGAAGAAGTTATTTTTCTGACCCTGCTAATGCAGAACAGCATACAAAATTACACCAACCTCTGCCCACATGTTGCTTCCAACATTTTTTGTAGGGAGCATGTTGTTTTCAACATCGTCGCTGCTTTCAGTAGGTGGTCTTAGGTCTAATTACCACTGTTTACACACACACATGCATTATTCTAAGTCAAGGGCATAACTGAGTCATGAAGGAGAAATGGGGAACATGGTTGAAGGTGTGCATTCAGCTTAGTTCATAAGAGTTAATTAATTACATCATGGGGCTGAGAGGTGACTTAGTGATTAAGAGTACACTGGCTGCTCTTGTAGAGGACCTGAGTTTGGTTCCCAGCACCTACATGGTGGCTAACAGTCATGTTTAACTCCAGGTCCAGGGGACCCAACACTTTCTTCTGGGCATTGCACACATGTAGTGCACTTACATACATGCAGGCAAAACACTCATACACATAAAAAATAAGTTAAAGAGTTAATTACATCAGGATTACAAAGCCACTGTCAGTTAATTCTAAGCAAGCTGAAAACATTCTCTCTCTCTCTCTCTCTCTCTCTCTCTCTCTCTCTCTTGTTCAATTTATCCACATCAATAAGTTTTCACTGAGGGCTCTCACTGTGTAACCCTGGCTGACTCTATAGGCCAAGGTTGGCCTGAAACTGTCTGTATAAACCAGGCTGAGGAACTGACAGAGATCCACCTGCCTCTGTGTTTTGAGTGGTGGGATCAAAGGCATGTGCCACCATACTGGGAGAGTACATAGTTCTAAATAATCTCAAACATATAATTAACTTGGTTAGAAAATTATGAAAGTTCTGTTTGTAAAGGCCTGTTACAAGGATTCATTTCTAGAAAAGTCATTCCCCCACTCCCTAATGAGCTACATCTGCTCCATTCTTTTAGTCTAATCAGTACTTAGAGATCTTGTTACAATACGTACTCTAATTCTGTGAGTCCAGCTTGGGAACCTATTTTCTGAATTTCTTGTAAACTCCCAAGTAATGTTGGTACTGCTGGTCTGTGAGCCAGGCTTTTAGTTGTTTGATTTACAATGTAAATCATAAAGTATTTAAGGAGCTTTGTATTAAGTCAGTAAGGATGAACCAAAACCTTCTCTGAGTTCTCACCCTCCTGGCCTTTTCAGAAGCACATGGGGAGAGAAATAGCCCCCAATGTAACAAATAAGGGCTATGAGTAAAGCTTGTGGATGTGGTTTTGTTATGATCCTTGTGAAGTTTGGGTTATTTGGGGTGCTTCTATTTAAAATAGAAGTCTTGATTCCACCCTTTTCCTGTTTCTCAGAGAACTTGCCGTGCCAGACTGTAAAAAGTAGGCAGATATCTTGACTTCTTAGTCAGATGTCCAGACATTCTGGCTTTTCCCATTTGTTCTAGTTGGTCGTATATTTTACAGTTATATTTAGTGGACTTCCTTTGAGGCATTTCTTTGATATTTAATGTCTTTCATACTATTCACAGTTGTGAACAGTTATTAGTAAGTTAAAATACTTTATTTTATATAAAAAAAAAGGGGGACTGGAGAGATGGCTCAGCAGTTTATTTCTCTTGTGCCACTTCCACAGCAATTGGAGTCATGTTTTTCCATTAATTTGGTGGTTTCTGCTTTTTATCTCCTTTCTTTCTCATTAGTGTTTAGTTTATGTGCAGCTGCCTTTCATGGAAGACTTGCGGCAGTACATGTTTTCATCACTGAAAAATAAGAAATGCACTCCCACAGGTGAGTTTGTTGTGATTTAGCCCACTAATGGCTCTTTCACTCAGACTGTTCTTGGAAATTACCTGGCTGCAGCTGTTGACTGGAGCCAGAATTTCAGAGGGTGGAAGTAGTTGAATTCTATTCATAAACTCAGTAACAATGAAGGTAGCTCACCAGGTGTTTCGGTAGGGAGAGATTATGTTCAAGCCTTCAAACACATCTAGTTCTCCCTTCTGAGTAAACATGCATCTAGGGACCAGCTTATTGCTGCTGGATTTCCATTCTCCAGCTGGGGGGAGCAGAAAGTTTGCCCCTGCTGAAGTGAATTGGTGTGCAGTATCAAACCCAAACGAACAACAAATGATGATAGATGAGTTAGGTTACAAGTTTAGGTGTGATTAGGGAGTTGTGAGGTGAGTTTTCAGATGGGGTCCTCTCTATGGATTCTTGGGGTTAGGCCCTTTGGAATCAGTGTGCAGTAAAAAAGGCCAAGAGCTAAGCGTGGCGGCACATGCCTTTAATCCCAGCACCCAGCAGGTGGCTCTCTGTGAGTTCAAGGCCAGCCTGGTCTACATAGTGAGTTCCAGGACAGCTGGGGCTACAGGGAGACCCTGTTTCAAAAAGACCA